AGTTGATGGAATATGGAACAGCAGCGAGTTTAGCTTGTATATTAGGTCTATTGGGGGGGGGGGGGCCTGACAGCTGAATGGACAGCGCTTCGGATTCGTAGTCCTGAGGTTTTGGGTTCGATCCCTGATGGAGGCGGAAACAAATGGCAGAGTTTTTCACCCTGATGCTTCTGTTCACCTAGCAGTAAATCGGTACCTGGGAGGTAGATAGCTACTAAGGGCTGCTTCCTGGGGGTGTGTAACAAAAAGGAGGCCTGGTCGAGGACTGGGCCGCTGGGACGCTAAACCCCGAAATCATTTCAAAATAACCAAGATAGTTGCATATTGAAATACATTTTGTTGATTGACAAGAAATGTCTACATCCTTTAAAAATTCCTTGACAGAAAATGTGTAATTACTGTTTATTTTTCGCAGCCAAGTGTGGCACAATGAGTCACGGGGGATTTCTGGTCGTAAATCCCTCACCGGAGAAAGACCCCACTACCAGAAAAAGCCAGTCCAGGTCTACCTCGTATTTTGAGGTAAGCAAAATTTCTAACATTTAAGTTGTTTTGTAGCTATTTTTAAATGCAATACTAAAGGTAAAACATGTCTTGTTTAATTTTGTGTCTATAACTTCTAATGGTATTACATGCTGTACGTAATATTTTTTTCTTCAAGCCAATACCTTCCTGATCCATGAAAATGGGAAATGGGGTAGTAATAATGTAATATTTTGTATTCTAAACTTTCAGCTTAAATAATTTGATCTTCAATAAATATTGCATGCAATATAAAATTATTGTATATACGAATTATAATGTACCATTAACCCATAAACCGCGCAAAACACACATACAATTTGACATGACTCAAGTTTTCGAAACTTTCACAAACATTCCAATTTTTTTGTGCATAATCAACTAGGCAAATGCTCCAACTTTGTATAAATGATCACAACATAACTTGAAAAACAAGAGAATTAAATATAATTTTAAAATTGAATATTGAAAACTTCAGATTTGAAAATGAGCTTCAAAAATATAAATTATCGCCAATTGTTAATTTGGTGCTATGCTCTTAGAATAGCATATGATCATCAAATTTGAATATAGGTTTTCAGTATAGTTTACGTACTATGAAAAAAAATATTCAATATAACATTTGAAATATGCGGAAAATTTAGACCAAAAAAAAAAATAACTCCAAATGTATGGAGTTTATGAAAAATTCATTCTGAGGGGATTGTAGAACAGACAGCTGAGCACACACCGTCAAAATGGTGAGAATCGGTTAAAAACTGGAATTTTAGAAGCCATTCAAAGTTGAAACTCTAGTTTCGTAGAATTGAAGTTGAAGTTATCGACAATAAAGGTAGTTCTAATTCGTTAATTTAATTGTATGTTTTAATAAACATTGTTTGGCATTTGTACTCGAATATGTGAAAGTTGTACGTCAATGTGTTGAAATGCAGTCAAGAAAAAAGAACCCCCCCAAAAAACTAAATACAGGGATAATTTATAATGGTTAATAGATATATTTAGGGTATACTTTATACAAGTGAAAAAGCCCTTATCTGGTCCCTAATCATCAAAACAACCTAGAGAGACAAAGAAAATAGTTTGAAATCTGAGAAAAAATCGGCCCCAAAAAATTCGGTCCCAAGTTCTGCGAGTTGACTTATTTATTTGTTGACCAATTTCATTCCATCTTCACATAGTTAGGGAAAGGTATGCACTCTCCAGGATGTAAGGGTTATCTTGAGATCTTGAGATGATTTCGGGTCTTTTTAGTGTCCCCGTGGCCCGGTCCTCGACCAGGCCTCCACCCCCAGGAAGCAGCCCGTGACAGCTGACTAACACCCAGGTTACATCAAAATCAAATAATAAACAAAGGAAAAGACTAAAATCTTGGAGGGTGGGGTGGGAATATTTTTGGGACATTGATGAAAGTGACATACATTAATATTGGACTATGTATTTATGATATATATAACAAAATAGAGCACAATAGCATACTCATTTTTATTATGTATTACTCGGCAATACTATAAAGGCATCAGCTGCATATCCACTTTGTGGACACTTCTTACTACTATTCGTCTTTTGAGCGTCGGACAGGTACTTGCATCTCGTGCTGCATTATCCCTCGGTTCCAGTTAATAGGAGCTGTTCTCCTTATCAACAAAACATTCTTATTTTTAAAAACTTTGTCTAAAATCAATTTCTGAAAATATTCTAATGAAAGTTTCATGACGCTGAAGCGAATAAGTTGGAGATTTATGTAACATTTTTAAGTTATTTTTATATAATTTGAATATTTTTCGGTTCTGGGCCCCCCAATATGCGTGGTTTAAGGGTTAATACTGTAGTAATTTACTTAATGTTATTTATGGTTGGAATGACTCCATCATTGTAGAAACGTGAATTTAAACAAAAAAATTAATGTCGTAGACATAACATTACAAAAAAACAACTAAGATTTAAGATATTTGTAGCTCTTGTGTACCATAAGTTTGAAACCAGATTTAACACTTTCTTCCTGCTTCTTTCTTTCAGCTTAAATAGGGAAAAGTATAGTCAAAAACACAGGTACTTGTACTATCTTGAAATTACATCTAGAAAACTCATTAATTTTACACAAATTGCATTGTCATTCAAATTATTATAAGGGTTAATTATTCTTTTGGATTGATTTGACATTTGTCATAATTAGTCATTGGCATTGCTTTTGTGAAAGAGCAAGTACAGTACTAATTGAGAGACGAGTTAGCACCATCGTGTACAGCAGGGGTGACCAAACTTGCTTACTGTAAGAGTCAGTATGATAAAACTCAGATGTTCGAGAGCTGCAAGACATGAACAAAATTTACTTATATTTTTGTTATATACACACTTTAGAATTTTTTTTATAAGTATAAAAAAAAAAATGCATATTAAATTCAATAATATTTATCTATGCATGCAGTTTTTAAATTGTTGCAGGTGCTCCATCTGTTGCAACACTGAGTTTATTCAGTGGAACGTCAATATTTCTTAAGGTCCTGTCAATTGCATTTTTAATGTCTTCACCACTTCACATGTTTTCTTTAATGCCACTCATGTGGAATTAAGTCCAACATCTCTTCTTTCTCATTTACATCAGAGGAAACATAATATTGCCAGTTGTGGGTTGTCTTGTATTGTCTATTGATTCGTCAAGTCAAACTAAATTATTTTTTTTTTAAATTGATTTGCATTTTGCCGGCAACATCACCACCGATCTAAGAGATGTCTCGAGTGTGGTGTGAACTGGTGTTTGTGCTATTAGTTGCTGAAGTTTTGTTATTTGGATTTAAGTGTCTGCTGGCTATTTATTGATTTTAACGAACTTTTTTCCTTAAGTCTTATTTATATGGATAATCATACAAAAAGTTTGATTACTGTAGTTTCATAGTGGTGCTTGAAGCTACTGGCTTTGTAACGACCGAGTGGCACTTGGCAGGTACGGCACAATGGCTTTCCTCCTTCAACCGTGAATGCAAACCCTTCCACTCTTGCTGAAAATTTTTTTCGTCTCCATATTTTCTTTTCTTACAATTTGTTGAAGCCATCATCCTTCACAAAGTTGTCAGACTTTAAATAAGATTTATATAAAAGTGTACCAGCTAGGTCTGTACAGTTCAACGTCTGCACTTACACTGAACTCCCTTCAGTAGGTTTCACCTCTGTTTATCTAGCCGCACGTTTCTTGCTCTAGATTCAGGTCAATTTTGAGAATTTTTGAATTCTCTAAGTTTTTCACGAGCTGCATATTAAAGGTCAAAGGACAGGGTTGTCACGGGACAATTATTACACTTTTTGGGTTAACAAGGCTCTCAATGTCCTCTTCTCAAGATGTAATGAAATTACAGCAGCATGCCCAGGTTCGTCTTACTGCAGTCTATTTGAAGATTGTTTTTCTTGCATTGGGGCTGAAGCTCCTTGCTTGTTACGAGCTTTTTACTTCCTTGCTTCAGATAGTTTGCTAAGCTGGTTGGGTTGAGTAAGGTGCCAGCCTTCTCTTCTGAGCTAGCAGCTGGTGAGGATTTGCTTGCTCAAGTTTGCACTAGTCTGTATTCTAGTCATTGAATAGGTGTTGTAGCCGATGCTTGAAAAGGCTATTTGCTTGTGCATGTGTGGTTGTCCCTCTTACTATCCTGCAGCTGTTGGTCAGAGGAACTGCTCAATCCTGGGAAATTGCACAAAGGTTGCTCAGGATCTAGGGGTGCATAATTTCCTGTCTGGTTCCTTGTGTGTTACTTAGCCGGGGAGGGAGCCGGTCGGCCGAGCGGACAGCACGCTGGACTTGTGATCCTGTGGTCCTGGGTTCGATCCCAGGCATCAGCGAGAAACAATGGGCAAAGTTTCTTTCACCCTGATGCCCCTGTTACCTAGCAGTAAAGTAGGTACCTGGGTGTTGGGCAGCTGTCACGGGCTGCTTCCTGGGGGTGGAGGCCTGGTCGAGGACCAGGCCACGGGGACACTAAAGCCCCGAAATCATCTCGATAACCTCAAGATTAGCAGTGTTGGGATATCTTTTAACAGCGTATACATTTCCTCCTCTCCCCCTCCCCAACCGTCAAATCTATGCTCCCGTGTACCAAGGCTACTGCTACAAGGGAGCATAAACTGACAGCTACTGTGCAGGCTGGGAAAGTTCGGCCAGCTTCATGCATGACTGTATGAGTCGACTTAGTTGGCCACCTAAAAAAAAAACGTCACGCTTAAGGTTCAGTTTGAAGATTTGAGTTTGGGATTTCTGGACTCCTACCTACTTGTGTTGAATCATCTTTCCATAGTGCTGAATAACCCTGAAGTTCTAGTACTAGGCCATGGGCCTAAATCTCATCATCAAATTTATTGAGGCTCCCTGTGTGGGGCTCTGGAAAAACCTCCATGTGCAGGCGATGAGTCACAATAACATGGCTGAAGTATGTTGACCAGACCACACACTAGAAGTTGAAGGGACGACGACGTTTCGGTCAGTCCTGGACCATTCTCGAGTAGATTGTGAGAATGGTCCAGGACGGACCGAAACGTCGTCGTCCCTTCACATTCTAGTGTGTGTGGTCTGGTCATCATACTTTTAGCCATGTTATTGTGACTCATTGCCTGCACATGACCATGTTCATGGATGTGATTTTAGCTTGGTGAGCAGCCAAATGAGCTGCTCATTTGGCTGCTCTGGTCATTTGCTCAGAAAGGTGAGCATGTTCATTAAGAGACTTTAAATAATATTTCCTCATTTACATGCCCTTACTGAAGATAGTTTACTTGAAATTTCAGATCAGTCCGGTGCACAAGCAGCAGGCAAAGCCAGTGGATGAAGAAATTCCAGTTTTGCGTCTCGTTCACTTTACACACAGCCCAAAGATAACCTTCGATACAGTCAAATTGGGAACCACTTGTCATCGAAAACTCAAAATACTTAATCCAAAAGACCAGGCACAACAGGTTGGTTATTTTTATTTTTCTATGTGCACTTGCATATTTATTGGTTATCCCTGCAATTGGGTATTTCTGTACCTCGTGGTTTTCAAGAATTTATGTAGTCCAGGTGAAATTTGGATAAATTTCTGGGAGAACTGTTGAGCGAATGTGGCGGAGGGCAAAAATTGAAATAAACGTGTATGGAGATGTTGAAGAAGTGGTTGATCAATTTATATACAACACTGTATCTGTAATGTGTAATTGATAAACAAAATTTGTATAGCAAAAATTGAGTGTCAAGAAAGCGCCTGGCACAATGAAAAGCGAGATGAGAAAATTGGTAGGAGCCATGCGAAGGTATTCTGGGTACTCTGGTACTGTCCTGTACTGGGTACTTTGAAGCCTCCTCATGGCTCCTACTGAGTTTCTTGTTGATACATCATGTTGATGTGAATTCTTTGTGCAAAAAATGAGATTTTCAAAGGACAGCAGAAAACAGTAACAGCTGCTTATCATGTATGGTGTGTAGTATGAATATGGAAAATCAAGAATTAGAGCAGCAAACATGGACTATTATAGAACCATGTGTAATGTACAGAATTTAGATTTAGGAAAGAAAACATCATTGAAAGAGAGTAAAAGCAATAGGTAAATGGCAAGATAGAAGAGTGTATCAAATGAACGAATGAAAGGTGTTCGACTTGCAGAAGAACATGAGGAAGATGGGTGACCATGGTGAGTGAGGAAGCAAGGATTGAAGGACCATTACACAGGTACAGTAATTGTAAGGGTCAAGGCTGGTTAACAGTGTGTAAGGAGGGTATGAGGTGTTAGTTTGTACTGTGTGACATTTCTGAAGGAACATTTTAAGATGTAAGGTGCCTGTTTGGGCGAGTGCTGCATTTCAGTGATGTGATGAATGGATGTGTACAAATTTGTAAAATCTTACCTTTTTCATTATATTGCTCTCCTTTCATCTTATTCAATTTAATCATACTGGGAAATGATGGTGATTGCAATTTTTGCTTGTATAATATTTCAATTTTTTATATATTTATACTGGCTTTGGGTCAGTCTTTAAATCTGCATTAACGTTGTTTTGAAATTGGCACACGTCTTACTTTAAGTGATGCATAAATAAGTGTTCATTTTCAGCCTTCTCGCCAAATGACTGTGGGTAATTTTATATTAAGTCGTATTTGAAGACTTTGCCCAAAGATGTAGGATCCTGCAGGTCTAGGTAGACTAATCCAGATACCTAGAATGGTGCATTGTTAAAAACGCTCAACTGGACAGTTGAGAGGCGGGAGCAAAGAGCCAAAACTTAACTCCCTGCAAGCACAACTAGGCGAGTACAAGAGCCTAAGTGCTAGTTGTTGGCCAGTATAACGATCTTTTTTTCCAGATGCAGTCGATAAAACATTAAAGGATACTACTTGCCATGCTAGTGTGTGTAAATGTTAAATCTTAATGCTCAGCAGTACAAGACACTGAACGTAAAGGGTGGCAGATGCCATCTGTTGGCCATATCTAGAAACTGGCATTGATCCCCCCCCCCCCCTTTCTCACAATTGGGACTCTAGAGCTGTATCTTGCTCCCTGTACACACAACCACCAGGAAAGTACACAACAATCCCTTGCCAACACTTAGAATACATGTGCCCACCTAAATAGATAGCGCCGACTGTAAAAAAAAAAAAAAAAAAAAGGCGGAGAAAGAACTGGCGAAACAAATTGGTGCTATATGGGGCAGTACTTAATGTTTTGGGCTTGTATTGAGAGGGAAACAGTGCTGACATCACTGAAAAGGATACTGTTTTCACAATTTAACCAGTGTCTATTTCAATGTACATTGAAATAATGTAATGAACATTAGTGTACATTATTTCCAGTAAATGTGCTCAGTTTGTACATTTTGCTGTATAGTGCACAAAAATACTAGGATGCCTTTAGTGTAAGGACGGAGTGGACAATTTATTCCTGTTTCGAACCCTCTAATGCAGTTCAACCATATGTTAATTATAGAAATAATTACAAATAATTTTTAAGTGGGCTTATTTATTTTTTGTTTCAGGTGAATTGTGAGAAGTTCCCAAAGCCAGAAAGTGGAATAACATGCTCAGCTGTACAATTAGATTTGGAACCATCTACAAGTGTGGAGCTTGTACTGTCATGGACACCAGTTCAAGAAGGGAATTTTCGAGACTTGATTTGCTGGAAATCAAATCTTGGTGTTCGCTCTCAGACTGTTCTTCTTGGGACATGTGTGGAACCTAAAAAGGTGTCAGTTTATTCTTTTTATCACTTAAAATCGAGTTTACTAAGTTTATACATTTTTGTTTTCACACCCAGAAAATGTAAATTTTTTTTTTTTCCCCAGATCAAAATGCATTATTGTCTTGTGCTGTCCCATTTTCATGGGGTGGAAGGAGTCAGTCCTGAGATAGGATAGAAACTGTTTGTAAACATCCGTTAAGAGTACAGTACATTATTCTCACTAATTCTCTGAAATGCCTACTTAAGACTTAAGTCTTAAGTCTACCTAAGTCTCATTTTGTAATAACCTCGCCTGGCCAAAGGCTCTTCCGGTTCAGGACTCTGAACCCAGTTTTTATAACTAAATAATATATAAGAATTTATTATTATTTTGGTTCTTTCCTCCAGCTAGTGATTTACTAGCATTTGCTCTCCCATCTTCTCATATTTTTATTCTATCCTCTATTCTAATGCCACTTGTGCTTCTGTGTCCATTTCAATTATAGTACTTAGTACAGTACTCTATTCTTGTTTACACACATGCCAATTGAAGGTAGGCACTACCCCTCCCGTCGAGCAGCTGTCAAGGCTCCAACGTCCTCTCTTGTTTTTTCTAATTGTGGCTTTCATTGCACCAATCTGTTTCCTTCCCTGACTACTATCCACTTGCTCAAAATCCTCTTTTATCAGCCACACACCCCATGCATTTAAACTGATAAACCATGTCTAGCACTTATTCGTTCACTTGAATTGAACTTTTTGACACAGGAATTTTGTTCAAATTAACTTTTAGCGGTTTACACTTGTATCAATAAAGCCAGCTTTGGCTGGGTGGCTTAACACCCTATGTTCATTGCATCATTTTGTACCGAGATGTAGTGACCTGAAAGGCCTCTTTTGATTATTCATTACCTATCTTAATACAGTATACTATCGGGGGCTCCCCGAATTTATCAGGACTTCCAAAAAAATCAAATATTACTACAAACACCAATGGAGCGCACACTGGAGAGTCGCCCGGTAGTGAACTTAAATGAGAAATGGCTCGATACCATACTTTTTTGGGGATTTGGCTAAGAACTAGCCCATTGTCATGAGTACATACCCCACTGAGCCACTGACTTACCTTCTCCTTTTGCTCTGGGATGACCACCACTTAGTTCCCCTTATTTTGTTTGCTGTACGCTCTTGTCCAGCCTGCAATTATCTTTGAAATCCTCACCAAGACGAGGGTAAACAAGGTTGTCTCACAATTATTTATTATAAACAACAAAGAATGCAAACAATAGTATGGACTCATCAGGTCATGGTCCTACAAACTAACATCACGATTATAATATATCAGTACTCCAACAAATGTGTCCATTAGGCTACTGCTTGATTCTCTCTAGCAGCCCCCCAGTTCATTTGTCACTTTGATGTCTAGGCTGGGCTTTGTACATGTAAACACAATAAAAAATATAAATACTGACGTTCTCACCTTGCATTGTCAGGCATACTACATGAATCCATGCATCTCTCAAACAATAATAATGTCCATATAACCCTCTGTATTACATCCTGAAGATCACTTCTGGGACCATCCACCAGTGGGTCGCCAAATTAAGTAGGTACTCTTGCAGCTTCTATGACGCTGCTACATCATTAACGACGAATCCCGTCCACGAAATTCCATCGTACACATAAAAATTCTTCCACACAAGCTTCACCATACACACCCGAAGTTCCCTATACACAAACCTGTAACTCCACAACCACACACAAATAATGTATGCTATCGAACACAAATAATTTTTACAAACTTAAGTTTCACCTCGCAATGTCCTACGTACCGGTCTGTACTGCAAGGGTCCTTTCCTATATGGACGAATCTACCCCAAAAATCTCCGACCGCTGTGGGGCTCCATCCCCTCAGTCATCCACTGAACTCGTTCGCTTGAGTTGATGTTGCTTCTGCATTCATAATATCAAATCGCCTCAAACTCATTATATCTTAATATTTTCACACACAAACCTATATTCATCAGGTTTGATGAAAAACCTGATGCTCTGGGCACATAAAACAATAACAAGCAATATAGCACAGTATATTTGGTTCTTACTGCAAAAGAATGTGACAACGCTTGTCAAAGACACCCAAAATATGGAGCTCTACCAGGTCACCCCACAACTTTCCCTTGGAATGCCTCTAAATGGCTCCTTCCAGTCATGGCCCGAATGTCAGGGCACAGAACAAGTGCCAATCGGGAACATCTGACCAAATGATCCTCTTGAAGGAATCGCACCCCGTGGTTCCTCGAGGGCGTGACCACTCGACTGACTTCAGAGCGCCCCCTATATTGTTACAACTATACCAGAGATACGTTACAAGTCGCCCCCCAAAAAGCTTCCTCGCAGCTTTTTACAAATTCTTCACCATAAGCCACAAACTTCCTTCTTCCTTACGAGCAATGACGTATGTCCTTACATCCCCCCCCCCCCCCTCCAGTAGTTGTACGTCCCACACCTCGAGTGAGGTTTTAAGATCTCTGCCAATGTTACGTCTCGCTGCATACTGTTGACATCGCATCTAACCTTGTTTCCTTAAGATGCTCAGCTGCTGTTCACTTTCTCCCTTAGACATGTTTAATGACGTTTGCTTGGTTTAATTACTTTCCTTGACTCCTATATCTAGTCAGGTGGAAAATAACTTTCAGAGGCAGACCTACCAAATGGAGGCTACTTGGGGTCCATAACTACCTTTTAGAAATTTTTATTAACACCCTTGCAGATGTTATGAAATAATACTTATATGTATGGCCTTCCTATAATGTGATTAAGAAGTAATAATGCTAATCTAATAAAATGTCCCTCCACCAGAAAGCAAAAGCCAGAATCAGAGCACCACTTAAACCAAAGAATGTTGCTCCAGTGTGTCCAGCATCAAGAAAATCCATTCCAGCAAAGGCTCCCAGAATTGTTCGTGGCCCTAGCAAAAATGCCAGAAGAAAACCTGATGCTGAAAACAAACCCCCTGCACAAACCACAAGGCCACCTGCACAAACCACGAGGCCACCCGCTCAGGATCCCGTGGTTAAACAAGATGCTACCCTCTCCGCGTTGAGCTCGAACATGAGAGAGGTAAGTTTCAAGCCCGACTAACTTTCAGGTAGAAATACATTTGTGGCACCAGGGATGTATCTATTAGAAATTATGATAAACTAGTCTTGCTAGGTAAAATATTATTTGACCTTGGTATTACCTGCTAAGCTGTATTAAAAATATCTATTTGGCTATAAAACAAACCCAGTTTGACTTGTTAGTAACTAAATAATATCCGGGATCATTATTAATAATGAGACTAATATTGTGATAATGTTGTGAGAATTGGTTATGATATCAATACATTGTAAATTGATGTATTAGAAAAATGATAATGGACCGTCTAAAGTAGCTGTGATAGTACAATGGGTGTGATCAAATAAACTTTGGGTGTGGCGTGTCGAGCATAACCCTAGTAAATAAAAAGTTAATCCGAAATTCAAGTTTGTAGGGAGAAATTAAAATTACATGCGCAAAGGTAATATTTTAAATTTAGTTGTCTGTAATTTAGTACTCTGTTGAACTAGAGATTGGAGTGGATAGACAGTTCTGGGTGAACCCATCTTGCTGTAAAATGGAGAATGATTAAATGGATAGAAGCTCTGGTATTCCTATTACTAGTTTGGACTTCACAGGGGTACATTTATTTATTTTATTTATTTTTTAAAGATATGCAGAAATGGTTGTCTAACCTTTTCTATTAGGTATAGCTAGTAGGGCTAGCTAGGTTATTTTTTATATTAGAAATTGTAAGACTCGTGTATCCATTTGATACAAGCTCTTTAATTTTATATAATTTGTTATAAACATAGTGAAGTTTGAGTTCTTGTCACATGTGGAACCTAATTAAATCTCAATTATTTCATAGGTTCCATCAAAATCTCTAAGAAGAGTTTTATTATCTACATCAAGTCAAGAGAGCGTTGATATACCATCAATAATGAACTCTACAGAGATTTCGGAGACTTTGCTCGCGAATACAGATTGTGGGGCTCCTTCAAACCTTTCTATTTCAACAATCGAGTTTGACTTTCCGTCAAGCTTGAGAAAGAACCCTAGTAAAGAAAAAGCACATGTTATGTGGAAAAACCCTTCAGATGATAAGGATTTGCATACAAGGCGAATGACCTACTGCCTGCTTGGTGAAGATGCAGTTATAAATGTGACTGATCAGGAAGTATCAAAAACAAATATTGTACAAGAGGAGGTTCTTGAGCTAGTGTATGATGAAGTGAGAGAAAGTCACACATATGAAGTTGTGAGAGAATCTGACCACAATCAGACAAAAACACTTGTTTCTTCCAAAGAAATAATTAAAACTAACTCTACTCACTCAGAAGAGGTGTGGAGAGTTACTGATGTTTTTCCTGGTAGTTCAGAAAAGTCTATTCCTCATCGAAGGAAAACATTTGCTCGCAGAGGCATGTCCAGATTACAGGAGGACCTTGATGAAGGTGCCATTTCTCCTGAATCTAAGAGTAGTGTTTCAGTTCCTAGTAAGGAAGTCTTCAAGAATATAACTGAAGGTCAGTTACCAGACTGTGAAGCAGCAGCTTCACCATTGAGACGTGACACTTTCGTCGCTTCAAAAGAGGGAAATTTCAGGCCACTCGAAAGAGATGATTTGCCGGACTGTAATGAAATAGCCACACCAATAAGGCGCCAAACTTATATAACCTCTAGTGTGGAAACATTTAGTTCTGTGTCTGCAAGTCAGCTTCCTGCCTGTAATGTCTCGGATTCTCCTATGAGGAGACAAACATTTGTTAAGGAGCAGACAGATATAAAACACCTGGGACCAGTTCAAAAAGTTGGACTTCAGAGTGACAAGTGGATGGAAAACTCTGGTTCATCCAATACCTCCACTCCCACAGTTGGAGTATCTCCACCTTTGGGCCCGGTTTCATTAGGCATGCTTCTAGTTACACCCATTACACCCGGTCCACAAATGCGCCCTAATAATTATGCATCCATAAAAGCTTCATGTATGAACCTTTTAGAGAAATTGAAGACTAGTGAAGAATTCCCAGAATCCCCCAAGCCACATATGCAGTCATGCAAGAGTACAACAGTTAATAAAGCGGAAGACACTTTGGATTATTCACAGTCGGGAATGTGTACAGCTCCCGAATCTCCGTTTTCCGAGTATGAAACTGCTCCGAGTACACCCTCAGAACCAGCTTTAGCAATGGAAGATTTTAACGTTACACTGGAATTTCCAACACCAAAAATTGGTGATACAGTTTCACGAATGAAGAATGTTAACTTAACAGACGTTTCTAATATTTTAGAGTTGGAACTTGCAAACCAGAGGAAGGCTTTGGGGGATAGTATGAGTACTGATAGTCTTGAGAAAACATTCAGTAATAAGGATGAGATGAATAATCAGTGGGATGAATTAAACCCAACTATTTGCAAGAGGCTGGATTTGGAAACAGATTCTGAAACATTTCATGTTAATAATCATGACATACTGATTACCAGGGAAGCTGATTCTGATGCCCATGATAATGCCTTGCCTAACAGATTGAGTTCAGGTACAGTTACTAAAGAAACTTCCATATTACATCCAGATGATCTTGTCATTGTGGATGATCAACATACTAGTTATGAAACCATAGTAAAAGATTTGCCAACATTTTCCCCATCGTTCTTACCCCAAGTAACGGATACACATCATCCTAGAAGAATGAGCACCATTGGGATAACGGATTTAAGTAACTCGAAGCAACATTCCGATCACCGTCGTAGAAGTGAGCCACTTGGACTCCACCTTCCTCCTTACGAGAGTGCTGCCTTGAATGAGCTTCTCTTGTTTAAAGGTGCCAATAAGAGAGAGCTGGAGAATACTAAAGTTGAGGGTCAAAGAGGAGATGAGAATTTTGTTGTGGCATCTCTGGCAGATTTTGACTTCTCTCCTGGTGTTGATCACCGCAGATGTTCAACAAGTATCAAATCTCTTCCCCCAGAGGAGCTCGTAGACCACCGCAGACTTTCTGATAAGGGTCGTAAACTTTTCGTGGAACCTGAGCATGAAGCTCAAGAATTTGGTAAACCAGTTTGTCTCGACTCAAATGCATCTGATCCTTGTATCTCCCAGTGTCTCAGTACAATTATGGAAGTTGAGGAGGGCACTTTTGCTTTGAATAAAACACAGGATTTACCTTCAAATAAGACTCAAGATTTTCCAAAGAATAAATCATATGATATACCATTGAATATGACTCATAGTTTGCATTTAGATAAGTCTCGGGAGTTTCCTTTGGCTAATATTAATGAGTTGCCTTTAAATGAAACTCGGACGGTGCCCATGAGCAGCGGTGCGGAGGTTCCCATGAGCAGCGGTGCGGAGGTTCCCATGAGCAGCGGTGCGGAGGTTCCCATGAGCAGTGGTGTGGAGGTTCCCATGAGCAGCGGTGTGGAGGTGCCCACAAGCAGCGGTGTGGAGGTGCCCACAAGCAGCGGTGCGGAGATTCCCACGAGCAGCGGTGCGGAGATTCCCACGAGCAGCGGTGCGGAGGTGCCCACGAGCAGCTGTACAGAGGTGCCATTGAGCAGCTGTACGGAGGTGCCCATGAGCAGCGGTACGGAGGTGCCCTCAAATCAGGAGGTTGATTCTTTGAACAAAAATAATGTGTGTGCGTTGGATAACATTTGCTTGAGAGAAACAAAAGAAATATCTTTGAACGTGTCAAATGATTTTCCAATTAACGAGACAGAAGACCCGGCTGTGAACAAAGTGCAAGAATTTTCCTCTAATATAACTAAAGATTTTTCACAGCTCCTGAATCCAGATCTTTTGGAAAATGAAAATCATATTTTTATTCCAGCAAGTCAAGATTCTGGTGAGGTAAAAACTACTATTAATTATACATTTACTAAATTCACAGAAGAACAAAGATACACTAGTACCTGTGAAGAGATTATAACCATTACTGATGATCCTGTTGTGGTTGAAGGCATAGATAAATGTGCTGATAATGCTGAAAGTCAACTCCACTCGGTTAATGATAATGAATGTTCTTCAGTATCAACTGATAACAAAATAAGACCCCTTTCAACTTCTTCAGAAGACCAAAGCACTTCAAAAGAAAATGATCAGGGGAATGAAGGGCTTTTGTTCATAAAGATCTCTCCCTCACATTCCAAAAGGCTTCCAGAAAAACATTCAAAGGAATCATGTTCGAAGCGTAGCAGAATCACTCCAACTCCTGTATTTCTGGTGACTGAACCATCTCTTAAATCTTCCAAAGAGAAAAGAATTGGTGTTAAAAAACCTGCTGTGGTGTCCAGTAAATGCAAGAGCCCTCGAAACATTAAATCTCTCAAGACAACTGGTGGATTAAAACCATCTTATAGATGCCCAGTAGAACCCAAGATGGAATGCAAGTTAAAGCCTGGAGTTCAGTCTTCAAAAACATTGGGTAAGATTGTTTTTATTTAATATGAAGATACTGTTGTAAAGGAAATCTAGTATAATTAGATACTTGTATGGGTCACCAATTGTTCAATTGTTAATAGTTTTTTTTAGCTGTGTTGAACAAACAGATGATAGTGGTGCTAAGAGAGTTTGAATGTAGAAGGAAGATGATTAGGGGGCTGTAAATTTGGGCAGGTATGGTAAGTGAATGTGTGAGAAAGCATGGCATACATGTAAAAAAATCTATAAACATTGGCTGCAATCATAATGAAAGCATTGTCGGGTAATTAGTGAATGATATTCGTTTAACAATGTGTGGAGTAATGGACACCTGGTTTATAAGTTGACTTGAGATGATAATGTGGATATTTCAGTACGTACTAATTTCCTAGGATGGTGCCGAATGTGGAATAAAACATTAATAGATACAAATTGGATAAGATTTAGATTAAGGAAAGACCTTGTAAAATGCTGGTTTGTGATTAAGGCTGTCCTTCAGATTTATAGAACAAATTAATGGGTAATGTTATAGATGTGTAATCTCTGGATTTTTTTAAGCATAAGTTAGACATGTTTGATCCTAACCAAATTCTATTATATCCAAGACCAGCCTTGTATCAGCCAATAAGTCTTCTGCAGTTTCCCCATGGTTTTAAAGATCCCTGTCATGTTTGCTTTCATTTGTATGTGTGCTGGCCCTCATACTGTAGCTGGATTTTTGTTTACTGCAGTATGTGGCTCCTTATTTTCCATTTTTGTTTTATCCTTGGCTGTGTGTACCCCCTCCTACCGGTCAGCCGTGATTTGGGGTTTGTTGAACGTCGTCATACTGGTCTCTTGGTTTGCGACTGCCGCATTGTCCTGGAGATTGTTGTAAAGTGGTGGGTTGTTGCTGCTATTTGATCTGTTAGATCAACTTGGACTCTGTAAATTTGGCCACAATGAGGAATTGGAGATATAGGACTTCATCCCCATAATTTCTTTTGGCAGTGAAATCACTATCTACACCCTTTTGTGATAATGAAAATCTTTTTCTATATTAAGCAGGCGTTTCTACTTTTATTAGCTATAGAGAAACAGTCGAGTGGACTATTTTAGCAGCAATAATTTGCCTGTAACGACTTTATCGAATCTAACCAGAGATAAACATAAAAAGGTTATTAGCTATTGCTACCCTCTGTTGAAGAGTTCCTGGGAGGAGGTGGTAAGGCATCTGTGCTATGTATGAGTAAGTTTTTTAAATTGCATTCGTCTACTCTTAACTTATCTATGTTGTCAACACTGTACAGTGTTCCCTCTATTTTGCTTGAACTTTTCTTGGATATAACAAACAAATTATTTAAGTTCCTTTATAGTAACTACAGTATTATTATTTTTCACAAATGGAGATTTTTGTTTTTCTGACAACTCAGGGCAAAGGAGATCTACTTCCAGTGGAAATTTGAGAAGAACCACCTCAAATTCTAACATCAGCTCAACGATTGAATCTACAAATCTTATTAGCTCTGCATCAGTTGCTGATCTGAGACACCATTCTGACAGTAGTAATTCATCACTCTCCATCAGTGCACTGTCTTCAATATGCCCCCCTCTCTCTGCATCTGCTGCAGATATTACCGTGTTCTCTCACGTCTCTGGGTCGTCCTCGACTTTAAGTCTCGGAAATGTTTCGTCTGCCTCTAACAAAGCGGGCAACAAACGACCAGCATTAAAAAAGAGTATGGGGCTGAGGGTGCCTCATTCTAGACTGACGCTCCTGAAGTTTAAGAAATCAACAGTTGTTCACCACCCGAATCCATATGCCTCAAAGTGAGTAACTTTCAAATTCTGAATTGTAACATTTGTAATCTTGCTTTCCTTACATACCTAAATGGCAAAGCTTTGAAACAAGTGCTTGTGAAAGTCAGTGCATGAGTGTAATGAAATTACGAAAATAGCTAAAAAAGCTATAGCTAAAAAAAAGTGATTGGTTAATTACAATGTACAAGTTTAGAAAATTTGCACGATGAGTTATATTTCTTGAAAAATATTATTAGTAGGTATTGAGAAAGAAGGCATTTATAAAAATTACATAATCAAGTTTGTATTCAAATTAACTTGGTCTTATTGTTAGTTTTGTCCTAGCGCTCGAGATCGGCCAACTGGTAATTATGGCATGTTTTTTAAAAGGGTTTCATCAGAATGACCATGTACTGTATATTGCATTTATTTTATTACAGTACTTGCCTTCAGTCGTAAATTATAATCACTGTAGACAATGGCTTATGTTTGATGTTTTATGTAAACGCACGTAAACATAAATGCAGCTTGCATTATGTAACCTTTATCATTGTAGAAATTTATACAGATCACCTTTACTAAAGAAAAGGTAAATAGGGAGGGAATGTTGACCAAACCACACACTAGGAAGTGAAGAGTCGACGACGTTTTGGTCCGTCCTGGACCATTACCAAGTCGATTGTGATAATCGACTTGATGATGGTCCAGGACGGACCGAAACGTCGTCGTCTCTTCACTTTCTAGTGTGTGGTTTGGTCAACATTTTTCAGCCACGTTATTGTGACCTCTCATCTTCATAGGGAGTGAATGTTTTACATGTATTATACTTAAATGAAAATCAAAAAGCACTTGGGTAATTTGTATGAAGAAGTGGGTGCTGTTGTGGATGTTTATCTGGAATGCTTACCTATCAATGACTACGGGGGGTGGGACTTGAATTGAACTATCGGGGGAGGGAGTGCCAAGCCGTTACGACTATATAGCACTTGAGACTGACTATAGGGGAATAAGATCTAGGTCTTCATGGGGCTAGCTCACTGCCTAGCACCATGATGTGCAAAATATGTATTGAATGTGTGATGTGTGTGTGTGTTTTTTTTTTTTAGTCTTTTTAAGCTCTCTTGTTTCTTTTAGGATGATTTTTAACCAATCCCGCCAAAGGAAAATTCATAATTGTAGTCATGTATTTAATCAGAAAATATCTTAGACATTTTAATTCAATCTAAAAACACAATGTTTGAATATTAGTAAAGAATTTGTAATAATTATGAATGTTTTGCAGGAATATGTACTATGATGACCGATGGATAGAGAAACAAATGAATGGCTTTACAAAGTGGTTAAACTTTATTCTCACACCACCTGAAGAGGAAGATGTTGAATCAAAGGTGAAGAAAGGTAAGTTTTAGCTTTTTAAAATTTACTTTTGTTAAATTAGTAGCTAGTAAAGCAACAACAGATTCAGAAATAATTGGATATGGAGGTACAAAGCAGGGCATATGAATCTGTACTCCAGTAGATTGACGGTTTAGAGGTAGGACCAAAAAAGCCAAAGCTCAACCCCCTCATGCACAACTAGGTATAATTGGTCGAGTAATATTCTGAACCTGACAGCTGGGGAATTGAACAAGTTTAAACGTTTTTCTTCTATTTTTGGCATATTTAACACCTCTAACCTCTTATTTCTCTCCAGTTCAACACAGTTCCAGAAGTTGAAGTTCCATTTAGTTGTCATTGCACTTTTTCCAGTTTTCTTACATGTGTAAGGGCACAAGCTTTTAAGTTGTTCACTGGAGTACAAACTATTGAAACTTGACCTTTACTGCATGCCCCACACACACACACACACACACACACACACACTGTTTTGTATATTTTTGTATATTCAAGGCAGTAAGGGGGCCGGCCGGCCGAGCGAACAGCACGCTGGACACGTGATCCTGTGGTCCCGGGTTCGATCCCGGGGCGCCGGTGAGAAACGATGGGCAGAGTTTCTTTCACCCTATGCCCCTGTTACCTAGCAGTAAATAGGTACCTGGGAGTTAGTCAGCTGTCACAGGCTGCTTCCTGGGTTGTGTGTGTAGTGTGGGGAAAAAAAAATTGTAGTAGAAGCAGTTGAGAGTTGAGAGGCGGGCCGAAAGAGCAGAGCTCAATCCCCGCAAGCACAACTAGGTGAATACAGGTAAAGCTGGAGTCTGCCCAATTATAGTCCTGCTAGTCAATAGTTGAACATGCATGCCTGAGCGGAAACATGCACTTCTCTGCCCTAGGGCTAATCAAAGTAAAGATTAAGTTATACAAATGAGGAAAATAATAGTTCCTATAATTAGAAAGGGGTTTTATCTCATCAATGATAAATTCAATCGCCAATAAAATGTGGCATAGAAATGGATTCACTAGCATCCATCAGTGATGTCATTGAGATTTCCTCACTGCACTACAGCCAAAATAAGCAACATTTTCCCCCCGTGATAAGGGAACACAATTTAACAATATTAGAAAAAAAATTGGTATTTTTTGTGCACACACGTTATCAAATGCAACAGATGCAGTGCAGGGGTTAAATTAGTCTTCACTTGGTAATTGGAACTATATGATGGGGCCCCACTTCCATTCTAGTTGGCTGAACATTAGAGTTAGCCGAATTACTTGCCAGAAATATCCAAAGTTAATAAATTTGCAATTGGTGGTGCCACAACCTGGTTACTCCCACCATTTACCCACGCACTCCTACTGCTTACCCTCGCATTTTCATCATTTACCTGTTTATTCCTACTATTTGCTTGAAAATGAACACAAATTCAATCGGATTACCCGAAGAATTGGGTTACCGGAATTTGGATTTCCGGGGTCTTACAGTATAACCAATTTATTAATACACTTCTTAATTTTTGTAAGACATTTTGTTATTAGTTGCCAGGAATTTTATATATCGATTTCCCATTTGCAGTTGATATGGGACAGCTATGGTCAGAGGCTACAAAGAGCAAACGTGTTGAAGTTGCACCCACAAAAGAAGTTATGTCCTTAAGATCCTACTCTGCAAGACGAAGGTTGAACCGACTACGAAGAAAAGCCTGCCGTTTGTACCAAAGTGATGAGATGGTAGAAGTTGTAATGAACCTTGAGACTGCTATAGATAAAAAATATTTGATGATTCGTAAAGACAGATTGACTCATGCGGATATTGGTAAGCATCTATTGGATTTTAATTTCATAAAGTTAGCAAGATAAAGTATATTTTAGATTGAGTTATTCTCATTTCTGAAAGTAATAAGATTGCAAAATTAACTTTAATAAAATTAAGTTGGCAGATAACTAGTCTTTAGAAAAGTGTAATAAAAAATTTTCATGAAGCATTATTGCTTATTTCTAGAAAAATCTGTTTGTAGGAATACTCTTTAGTACAATACTCTTTAGCTTTATATAATTGTATGTTTGCAAGTTGCATAGTATCCATGACAGTCTACATGAACACAGTCAAATGAATATGTATGTAGCATACTCTAACAATTAAATATAATGAGAATTGGAGCAGAAGGGAAGGCAATTCTTTACACAATCTGAGACAGTTCTATGCACAGAGGAAGCCATCAGTGCTAGATGCAACTCATCTTAGGCATGTGCACCTATATATGCATGGGTCATGTGTTGCACATGAGCACTGCTTCCTGAGCAAGTATTAGTGTTAAAACTTGTGGCGGTTATAAATATATATAGTGGCTAAATAGTGGAGCCCCAAGAGTTAAAGGTTAGTCCCTATTGACAGTTAAGCACTATCTATTGACTCAGTTCTCTCCATTATTGTAAAAATGGGACAAATTTTGATTTAATATACATTCCACATTTATTTTTCAGGCTTGAAACAGTTGATGTTGCAGTTAGTGCTTTGTTACAATCCTCTTTGGTTGCGCATTGGACTGGAAACGGTGTATGGAGAATTACTTCACCTTACAAGTAACAGTGATATTACTGGCATCACCCAGTTCCTAATTACCAGGTTAGTCGGAATTCTGGCACCCAACTCACCCACTGAGCTCTTTCTTAATAGCATGACCACTCATTTTTGACCTGACACCCTCTTTCCCTGCTCCCTGGTGATATGAGGCCATGCTTTACTGGCTCACTGCTTGAGGTTCTACTAATCATGCTTTGTTATTCTGGAATGGCTCCTATTGAGGCTTCCCTTTTGCTAGCAACATGGATAGCTCCACCTGTTTTGATCCATTCCAGGCTCTTGAAGATATGAGATCACTCCGACCAACAAAAAGCCACCAGACAGAAAAAGTGAGACAATATGGATAACAGGAAGGTAAACACACGTGAATGAGCCCAAAGCAACTTGCCCAGTCGTGAAGCTGTTCACTAGTAACAGCTGTGCATCACCAGGTTGCTGTGTACCTAGCTACTATATTTTCCCCAGCTGACACGATCATTTAGGCTGGTGTGACGTTTAAGCATGTCACTCTTTAAATTCCTCATTGCCGTTAATCGCTTTTACACGTCTGTTTCTGGAAGGGACCTCTCGGTAACTCCCTGAACTTAAGAACTTGTACTGCTAAATACAATGAAATTGTACTTAACAGTACATTAGTACATTTCATATTTTCTGGAGGCCCTAAGTTGCTCCTTATTCCCATCTTGTTACCTTCTATGTAGGGTTTAGGGATTGGCATGGGTCAATGTGGCGTCAGTGAAGTGACACTTGAATGCCAGATGACCTAGGTTACTAACTTGTGGCAGTTGTGTGCTTCACAGTTAGGGTTTTACTCTGTGGCAGTGATTATTTGCCTTATTTACATTGTGGTACCTAATATTCTTCAAGCACTTGCTTGTTTTCTTGCACTTTATTTTCTTTGGTATTTTTTCTTGTTTAAAGGTTGATCTGTGATCCCCAAACTGCCCACACCTTTGGGGAACCACCAGAAAAGTTTCATCACATTTAATGCTTGATTTTTCCTTTACAGTATTTGGTATTGTTAAATATAAAATATGTACTAATTAAATATAAAAAATTTATGCAAGTCCTGTTCATATATATATTGTGTTTATATATTGTATATGACATGTAAGCTTGATATATACTTTTTATATTTTAAGGTTGCTGACTAATCCAGACATAGCAGCTGAATATGCACATCCAACAGTGCCACATTCCTATCGTGCTGGCTATGACGACTCCATAAAGAAATTCCAACTGAAGAAATTCCTCTTGTTGGTGTTCTTCTTGGATCGGGCCAAAACATTGCGTCTCATTAACCATGATCCCTGCCTCTTCAACAAGAATGCAGACCACAAAGTATGTTTATTTGTTATCTATGCAGATGTGGGATACAGTGTCTAAGCTAACTTTTTCACAATCATTAGATAAAGAGGTTTGATTGGTTCATTTTTGCTTTTCATTTAGGTATGTGACTAGTTCCTTAACATGTTCATTTGACTGTATGGCAGGTATATTAGATTATTTTATATTTGGAAAGTTTGTGTATTGTTTTTGTAAGGGCATAATGCAAATTGATCTCTTAACTTTATTCAACAACACCTTTTTGTTTCTAGAATTGTTTCAATGGCATAGTTAGGAAACCACTCCCATGTTGGCACACAAATCTCAGCTGTTCAAGAATGAGTTGCAGATCATAACACAAACATAACAGGTTTTGTCAGCTGGTAATGACTTTGTCATTGTTTGTAGTGTAGTGGTAATGAGGAGATTGAAATCTGAGGACTGTAGTGCTGCAGAAAGTCCTTATCTGAACTACATGAATGAACCTTTAATTGACTGATAATGTTCAACCCACAGGAATTTTATGGCATTGAACATTTGAAATGAGGACAGGAGACTGTAAGATGGCTGCACTCTAAGGTGTAGGCCATTACTAGAATTATTAAGACATTTCAATGGATATAATATTGACACTCTAGAATAAAAACAAAAAAAGAGGAACTTGCATTGTATACATCAGATCAGACTTGTTCTCTCAAAGCTGCACTAGCTTGGAAACTTTATGCCGTGAAGCACAAAATAAAGCTCGAAGACTTGAGGGGTTTTGAAAGAGGATTAGTGCAAGAATTAAGATTTGAGCTGTGAGAACATATGTAAACTGCCTAAATCAACTGCCAAAGAGGATATGATGAACATGTAAAAAATTTAGGTGAAAATAGACAAGGTGGACAAAGACAGCCTCTTTAGATATAGAAAAAATTGTATAAATGACCTCGGTGAGAGTTGGCAATGCAATTGCCATAAGAAACATGAGGAAATACTTTGAGAGATCTAAAATTGCATCAAGTATAAGAGGGAAAAAAGCAAGGCTTCTGGAACAAAATTGCACCTCACAGCAAGACTGATAGATCAGCATCACCATTAGTCACATAACACAATCTCCTCCCACCCCCTTTGCCCTAGCCTATACTGAATATACCCACTTAAATTCATTCTCTGCAGCATACTGTACTCTGTATATTTTGTATAATTTGTATTATTGTGCTACATATTCGTTAATTGGTATTCTTGCACTAACATGAAAGAAAAGTAGTAAATTGAATTTAATGTCTTTATCCATGTGTCCCTTTGACTCATTATAATAGTGATAAAAAAATAGTATCGAAAAGCATCACCTTTTTGTCATCCCTTTTGTCATCAAAACAAAAGCATCACCTTTTTGTCATCCCTTTTGTCATCAAAACAAAAGCATCACCTTTTTGTCATCCCTTTTGTCATCAAAACAAAAGCATCACCTTTTTGTCATCCCTTTTGTCATCAAAACAAAAGCATCACCTTTTTGTCATCCCTTTTGTCATCAAAACAAAAGCATCACCTTTTTGTCATCCCTTTTGTCATCAAAACAAAAGCATCACCTTTTTGTCATCCCTTTTGTCATCAAAACAAAAGCATCACCTTTTTGTAATCCCTTAGTTACTTTGAAAATAAGGGATGAGTATTCATTAATAGTCAAGAGAAATATGTATACATGCCTATCTATTTTTTTTTTTTTTTAATTTTGCTGCTCTAAGGTGGTGGTTGCTAGTTCACAAGCCTTCTGCTGTGAAAGGATCAATATTCCTATTTTATGTATGGAGGAGAATTGTAGTGCTGTACTTTTGTTGTACAGACATACATCTTAATATAATGTTTTGAGTATGCAGACAATGTCATGGTAATGTGGCTGAAGCGTTGATTCATAACCCACACTTCTGAAAGTGAAGAAACGATGACATTTCGGTCCATCCTGGACCATTATCACGCTGTGTAACATTTTGAGTAATCATTTTATGTTCACTTTCCTTACAGACAAGCAAGGATATCTTGATTGCCTTTGCCCGCGAGTTTCTTTCTGGCATTGGGGATATAACCAAACACTTGGGTTACCTGGGCTACAATGTTAGCCACAAGCAAACAGTCCTGGAAGAGTTTGGTTATGCTGTAACAAATTTGGCTGTGGATTTACGTTGTGGTGTCCGATTGACGTAAGTAGAATTCAAACGTGTGCATGTATTGAGAAATTTAAGTACCATAATGTACTTCATCAGTTTTAGTGCCATATGTGACCAGCACACATGCATGGCTGAATAAGTGTTGGTTTACTTCACCTTTCAAATAAAAATACCACTTGGATGCTTTTATTAGTTGCCAGAAAGAGTAAGTTTTTTTATGGGCTTGTTACTAAATAGTGAATTTGTGCAGCACTCAAGGTGCAGGACCCCATTTAGGCAGCAGAGTTTGCATTACACTTCTTGCATTGATTTGAGCACATTTGGTGCTAATAAAAGTAGATGAGGTACGGGATGATTTTTGTCTGTAGCATTAAAATATGGCTCGTTACACACAGGATATTGCCAAGATGGCACCGGTATATAGATCAAATGTGGACAGTGAAAAAGTGAGTAAATTTTAACATGGGGTGAGGTGATGGCTGTCTTATTACTACTAAACAGATCTTGTGTATAGGTTACAGTTGTGAACTAATTTTTGTTTATGAAATGATGTAACAGGTCTGTAACCTGAACAAAAATTACTACTGCATCAGTGACTCGAGCCTAAATCTCGTAATTATATTAAGACTGGCACACATTTCCTTACACCATATTGTGTGCTGGATAGTATGTTGAATTCGGAGGCTCACCGTGCAGTGATTACAATAATGGGTGGAATATGACAAAATTTTGTAGGAATATGCCTCTGGATGGATATACTGTACAGTTTTTGCCGAATAATAAAAAAATATATTAACCCTTTGGTGGCAGTTATGACATTGTTAAAGATTGCTAAAATAAATATTTACCTACTGGATACTTGTTGAATTTCAGGCGTGTGGTGGAAATGTTGACCCAGAAGTTTGATTTAAGCTCCAAGTTACGTGTTCCAGCTATTAGTCGCCTGCAGAAGATCCACAACACAGATGTTGCAATGGCTGCTTTGGAGGGTGCAGGCTGTGTTGGGGTCAAGACCAAGTTCCCATCCAAGGATATTGTTGATGGTCATCGGGAGCAAACACTCGCCCTGCTTTGGACAATCATTTTTAAGTTTCAAGTAAGACTGTTAAAATCATTGATGATACTTGTATATATATTATGAGGTGGGATCTTTCGATTGAATAAGTCGAGTGGTCGCTGGTTTCGTGGACACACACAGAAGGCTTTACCATCTTACCATTAACAAGATTGCTTGTGTAATAAAATTAAGGGTTCTCTCCTGGAATTGGCTTAATAAGGAATAGTTTTTGTTTACAGAATTGTGCATATTCTAGAATTTAGTTTAAATTAATATAACTTTGCAAAGCTCTCATTATAGTATTTGTCTTCAGTGTGAATGCTGCTATAGTGGGCCTTTACTCTTATCAAATTCATAAAAAGTCTGAACAGTTTGTATTTGGGGCAAATTTGTAAGTGGAACTAACAATTGTTACAATAAGGCTTGTTTGCTTATGCTACTGTTGAAATGCAGTCATGTTAGCATATAACTTAATTGTAAACTATTGTATATAACCTAAAATCTATTAAACCTAAATTATATTATTTTGTTAAATGATGGCTGTCTTGAAAATAACATTTGAGTGAATCGTGGTTGCACCATGTTGTTCATCCATACTGATTAGAGTTTGTCTAAATATTGGTAAAATATTTAACTGTAAAATATAAATAAATTAACGACATTAAACTAGCATGCAACAAATCTGCCCCATATAATGTGTTCAAGTGAGTTTGCACTCTATTTGGTTTAATACAGAATAGTAGTGGTTTTCATGAATTTAATCAAACTTAAGTATCATAAGAGTGTAATGTGTTTCTTGTTTTCACTCTTTTCAGGTCTCGGTGATGATATCCGAGACCCGTTTGCGTGAGGAGATTTACTACCTTCACAGGTCTCTTGTTGTGCGTTCTCAACTTGAAGCTCCGGCCTGTGCGGGTTTAGAGCTCGTGTCCGAGGCAGTTACTGAACTAAGCCTCTTATCGAAGAAAGAATCGGGAACAACGGAGACTCTGCTCTCCTACCTGAAGTTGTGGGCTCAGTTTACTTGTGCACATTATGGACTGGATGTAAGTATTTGTGGTTCATTTAGTTTTAAATACCACTACTATGATTAATAGAGCTATTAGGAAAGTGCTCACAAATTTAATAATCAGTAATATATCATTTTGTATGATCTTGTACAGCCCATTCTCCTGTTTGGGTAGTACCTATAGTAACGGTGAGGACCATAGTATAGTACATATACCAATGTATAACACAATTACGAAGTAGAAATAGGTACTATTGAATTTGGACAAACTGGAAAATATTTTCTATTGCAAAGACAAACTAAACTAACCTTCCCTTCCCTTCCCTTCCCTTCCCTTCCCTTCCCTTCCCTTCCCTTCCTAGGCCTAATACATACCTGAAGCCTAATATAGTACATGTGTGCTATACTAGGCCTAGAAATATATATATTTTTTTAATATAAAGTGAACAATACAAAATTCTACTATCTAATTGCTTAGTACATCAATCTTTGTACTATGGTGTACATAATTACAAAAACTACTATCTAATGGGTGGATTGTCTTGTAAATTTTAATGTTTGTAAAGTGCTAATATTGTAAATTTATTAGAATGCAGTTTAACAGTATTTTATAAGTAAATTGCTGCATTTATACTGGAATCAAATTTAAATGTAAAACATGAAATAAATTACGAAGATAGGTGTAAATTTCAATGGATGTGAAAACCGTATAATTTGGCCTATTCAAATTTTTTTTTTCCTCCCCCAGGTTGATAATCTGACCGTGTCGTTTTCTGATGGGCGTGCATTGTGTCTTCTCTTGCACCATTATCATCCCGACCTGATGCCCATGAGCCTCATTAACTGGAAGACTACACAGACGCTGCCAGCTCAGGTAAATGCTTGGTTATTGGTAGACTAATTACCAAAAATTACTAATTAAACATCATTTGTAGGGTAATTCTCTTTAGATCGTGATTGGTTCTGTGTTAGCTATTTAAACTCGTTTGAATATATTGTAATATGTACATGTGCTTATTTTGATTTTGCTTTAGGCAACAATTATACAGTATTTCTACAAGAAATTGTTTTTAAGAGTAATATCAAGAAAAGCACAAGTATAGTAAAATTAAGAGACAATATTTGGTGTTCAGATGTCCATTTTATTCGAAGGTGATGCAGTATGGTACGGATCATAAACGATTTGATCCAAATGGGTCTCAATATGAATTAAAAAGAATATAATATCAGTGTTAAAGTATTGGGATAATTTTATGCCAATACTGACACTGTAAAAAATAGGTTGAAACCACTGATAACAATGCATTGGTACATTAGTACAAGAGGTCTACTGAAAGTTAGAATATTGAGTTGATCTAAATACTGTATTAAAGATGGTGAATTTTGATTGGAATCTAAAGAATGGTGGATAATTGGTCTGTTATTTATAGCATCATAATAAAGTAGCCCATATATTGCCATCTGCTCATACTCATTTTATTAATTTCCTGCAATGAATATAATTAGATTATACCCTGTGAAATAATTACATTATTCTGTTCGTATCCCAAAACATGCCGTCATCCATCTGAGCAGTTCCAGTCAAAATGCGCGTACAGTGTTTTATATTGCTTCTATTGTTTGTCTTCTTTCATTGATTTTATAATTTTGTTTTCTCAGGGTATTAATTTGGATAGCTCACTTGATGACAGTTTTAGCGAGATGACCTATGCTGATATGAGCACCAAGGACGAATACAACCAAAGGCTTGCAAATGAAAGAGAGAACTTTGCTGTTTTCATTGATAAGGTATGTTGTGTGGGAGAGGCTATTCTTTTAACTCTATATAAACTTTGGATGATAAGGAGAGATGACGGGGCAGACTGTATGAACTGCACTCTTTAGGAAATAAACTGGATTCTAGAAAGACTGGTAAAGTGTGGACTCATTTTACATACAAGGTCTTCGGATTTATTAAAGCCCTTACAGGCTAAATGCTACAGCTCTTGACTAGACTTTTCTCTCTCATTGTCACAACTTAGTGTTCTGTTTAACCAGGCAGGCTTCAGATTTTTAATTGTTCTAGTCCAGAATTTGTATTTATTAGTCTTCCTAATTGCAATTGAAATACATGAGATTCTAGTCTTGGAAAATGATGATAATGACGCTTCTTTAAATGGGGGAGACAGAATTTTTTACTATATTATTGGGAGGAATGGAAGTTTGTATGATATCCTTTGTGAATGAAATGTGTGTGTGTATGTTACAGCTGTCGTGATTTGAGTATGTTTTGAGATTGTATATTTAGAACAGTATCTGCTTTTAACATTTAAAATATGTAATGGTTTAACCTTAAACAGCGGTTATCGTCATTGTCTATTCACAGGGTAATGCGGTTATCACATGAAGATTTAAAAAATTATCTGGGTTTTAAATGTATGATGCAAATAGATATAATAGGTCTCTGTGGATGTAAATAAAGTGATAAAACAATCGGTATAACATTAGAGGATGAAATAGGAAGTGTCAGCATAGTGCACAGGTGCCAGATACCGCCTTGTAGAGCAACTCCACCCAGTGAAACGATAAATATTTACTTACTTTGGAGTTTTCTTGCATTCTGTATACAAATTAATAATTCGGCAATTTTTAGGTGGGTATGATTATTTCTCCATAGCCGTTATCTAAGGGTTAATAATGTGAACATGTCAATGTATTCTGTGGAGGCATAAATTTAAACTCTAGGTTTTATTCTTGTAAACTTCAGTGAAACCATAAATATTACCTTATGTATATGTGACTAGGTTACAAAAAAAAATAGTAAAACTGTTTTGGCAAAGGATTATTAAATGTATATAGTTCTGGTAAAGTTTTCGTGGAATGATATAAATGATATTAGTTGAGCTTGTAGTATTTTAATTATTTTGTTACTAAGGTGTCTCAACTTGATGGAATCCCATTGGTGATCCGAAGCAACGATATGATCAACACGATCCCTGACGAAAAAGTAACGTCAACCTTCGTGGCATACCTCTGTGCTCGGCTTCTGGATCTCAGTGAAGAGATGAAGGCTGCGAGAATCATACAAATGGCTTGGAGGAAACATCTCGCAGCCAAGAGGCTGGAACAGCTGAAGGTAAAATATGGATAAAGTTGTCGTGTAGCTTTTTTCCTGCTCAGGATTCTTTCCAAAGTTTAAAGTAATTGTTACATAGGATCTTTTAATATATCAAAATATGTTATCAGCCAAATATAATATCCAGTATATCAAAATAGACGGCTTTGTTCTAATGCAGACAACTAAAGGACTAAGATTAGTTTATCTATTTCTAAGCCATTTTTAATGTTAAGGTTTTATAAAGTACCTAATAACACAGTAGTATTTTGTTTACTGAAGACCTGGTGATTTCTAATATCTATCGAGGAATGTTTATTTTGTGTTGAAGGTTTAGTTTTGTTAGCTGCAACAGTTGCATTATATACATGTGTGTTTTTTAAATGCAGAAATAGCTATTAACTTTATATAATAATTTAATGTTGCTCAATGGTGACCACTGTAGCATTTCAAAATGCAGTGGTCACCACCGCATTTTGTGACCGGTGCGGGTTTTTAAATTAATCAAATATTACTGTGATGCCCTTGCCACTATATCCTTGCGTACATCAGAAAACACTAATATAGCATGTACAGCCGACTTGTGATCTTGTAAATCACATGTCATGAGTTTGTGGTGTTGCCAATGTTCAAAACCCAAGTGCTTCAGTATTGTGTAGGAAATTAAGGAAGTGTTAGAGAAATATAAACGAAGTATGAAAAAATGACAAGGAAATGCTAGGCTTTGAAAGTACAGTGGCAGGTATTTAAATATTTAACACACTTAAGTGCTCTTGCCAAAAAGTGAACAATCAATAGCAGAATTATAACTTTAGTATTTATTTAAAAAAAAGACTTTAGTTGCAATAATTACATAGGCTCCATGTGATTTTTAAGTACAGCACAGCACAATATAAAATTGGATTTTTTGTTTGTAATAAATGAATACACAAATAGGTTTATACTGGTAGGCATCCTTCATGCATGGAAGGGGCACAGTGCCGCTGGATATAGAAGGGCAATGTAAATTGCTCTGTTTTTGCTTGTAGTTTTATTTGGCAGAACTCATAATACAGAATCATAGCACATCAGGAAATTAAGAGCAAAACCACTTTATTTTCTGCTGGTTGTTTATCAACTTCCATACTAGCAATGGCTAATTTTCTCTATATGATGTCTTATTTGTTCTCTTCTTAACATCTACTTCTTGTCTGTCTTCATGTGCCTCTGTAACACAGCTAATGTCAGCTACGCCATGAAGTGAAGCCTAACTCATACCCTGCCTCGTCTTGTTACACTGTTTTTAAATCATTCCGTCATTGTCGTTTTTGTTTTTCAACGGTACGCACGACATCATTTAGTACACGCTGCTTGTTAGCCGCCTAGTCTGTTACCTCGGAGTCGTGTATGTTATGGTGATCGCTGTGCTTGTACTCGATTCTTAGTGTTAGTTCTCGTCACCTGCCTTCATAGCTTAATCCTTGAACCTCCTTGCTGCAGTTGCTAGCCGTGTTTATTACGCTCAATTTCATGAAAGCGACCAAAGTTCAGGTTACTAAAAACAAATACATAAAATCTCTCTATAGTTTCTGTTGGCATATTTTCAAACTTTCTAATTTTCCTTTTTCATAATTTTGTGGTTTCCCTGGAGTAGGTTTCACACTGATGCTGCATGTTATAGGCACATGGTATAATATATTGGGTATAGTATTTTGAAGATTCCTTGATGCTCTTGGCATTCATCCTTGAATTTTCCGGATGCTGCTGCTGCTTTGTTAATAACAATGCCTGTGGCATTAAGGCTGGTATTATATAGTCTGAAAAATGTGTGTGTGTATTCAGGCTTTGTCTAGTGTATTTGTTTACATTGTGTTACTTTGAAGAAATGCTCTTGCTTCTTTAATTTAAAAAATTATATTACCTTTTAAGTTTATCATTTTAATAAATTGGACACATTATTTTTTTAACTGAACATTTGTATAATTTATGCAATACAGTGATGTATTACTGAAGGTATTTAGATTACAACAGACATTAGTTCTTCACTTCCTTCTTTCATGTAGATTAACCTCTAAAAATGTGTTGATATGAGAGATGACGATATCTGACCTGTGTGTCTTTCAAAACAGTGTACATTTTTTTATGTAAATAAAACTGAAAATTATATTAGTGTGTTTTCTCACCTTCCTGGGGTGTACTGTACTGTTTTGAAGGATATCACAAGTTGGTCAAAAGGAGGACTTCTGGAGAGGTAAATTAAATATCCTCCAAATTAAAGGCAGGGCACAGAGTATCAAACCTGGTTAAATACTGGTTTGAAAACAGAGTTGTCGATTTATAGCATACCTTGAGGTTACCTTGAGGTGCTTCCGGGGCTTAGCGTCCCCACGGCCCGGTCGTCGACCAGGCCTCCTGGTTGCTGGACTGATCAGCCAGGCTGTTGGACGCGGCTGCTCGCAGCCTGATGTATGAGTCACAGCCTGATTGATCAGGTATCCTTTGCATAGGTTACATAATGTGAATGAGTGGGTGGATGTAAATAGGAGCGGCCTCATATGGGTCTATAAGCCTTCTTCGGTTTCCTTTACTCATATTATTGTTTGTGTAGTCAACCAAAACTATACTGAAACCATGATAGATTATACTTCTGTTTGAATAATCATAAGAATTACAAAAATTACCCCCTGTATTTTAAGAATATTATCTTTTAATGTGTGATGTGGGGAGAGCCGATGATTGGGGAGCCGAGCGGACAGCACACTGGACTTGTGATCCTGTGGTCCCGGGTTCGATCCCGGGCGCCGGCGAGAAACAATGGGCAGAGTTTCTTTCACCCTATGCCCCTGTTACCCAGCAGTAAAATAGGTACCTGGGTGTTAGTCAGCTGTCACGGGCTGCTTCCTGGGGGTGGAGGCCTGGTCGAGGACCGGGCCGCGGGTACACTAAAAGCCCCGAAATCATCTCGAGATAACCTATGATAGATTATACTTCTGTTTGAATAATCATAAGAATGAAAAAAATTACCCCCTGTATTTTAAGAATATTATCTTTTAATGCGTGATGTGTTAGCAATTGATTTAGAATTGCCAGGAAAACAATTATTGCAGTGATGCATGAAGTTTCTCTTAATATTATTTAGCTTTTGAGAGTTCAGGTCATCTGTCACCCCTTCTATAATTAATAGGGTAAGAAAGTGTTGAAATTTAGTTCAAAGACCAAGTACTACACATTATATTGTCATATTGGCTTAGTGTTTTCTTTGGGTTACTTAATTTTTAACCAGTTCAGTGCTCTATTTGTTAACCCTTAGTTTGGGGTGCAAAGATATGAGCTATATACAGTATAGGGAACCCAACCTTTGTCAGAAAACACATTTTAAAGACTAGATCATTATGAATCATGACACCGGTGTCTTGGTGACAATGAAAATTTAAGGGTTGTTCTTTTATATCAATGTTACCTTAAGTAATATCCTATTTATCATTAATAAGGTGGCACGATATTATTCTGGTTAGAAAAGTTGACAGTATTGCAAAATATATAGTAAATTTATTACCTGAAGCACTAGGGGGGGGGGGGCAATCCAGTCACAAATGGGCTGAATAGTGGGTGAATTAATTAAGGTTATCTTGAAATGATTTCGGGGCTTAGCTTCCCCGTGGCCCGGTCCTAGTATACCCGTCCCCAGGAAGCAGCCTGTAGCAGCTGTCTAACTCCCAGGTTCCTATTTACTGCTAGGTAATGGGCAACAGGGTGAAAAAACTGTCCATTTTGTTTCTGCCTCCACCGGGGATTGAATCAGGTACCTCAGGACTACGAATCGGAAGCGCTGTCAGGGCCCCTGACAGCTGAAACAGTACTTAGAAATAGTGCAGTGTGCGCAACAAGTCAATAGATGGTATATAAAAAAAAGCGGTAGCTTAAGGGTGATTAAGGTGATTCCTGGCAATGTGCCACTAGTGGGCACCTTTGAATACTTTGGTGAAGAGGTAAGAACTGGGTGCAAAGGTGGTAGAATTTACAAACAGCTGGAGGGTAGAAGTAGACAAACTTAAGGTGGAGCTTCTTCTTATCTATTTGTCTTACAAAGTAAGAGATTGATTTCATAATAGGGTTTCTTGTCAGTAGTGTAAATAATTAGGAAACTGGGTTAGAAAAAAGGAACACTACAGTATTAGCACTCGTACACGATTTGTGGAAAGGAGGGATGAAAAACTGTACCCCTTTGGGAGGCTTCAGAGTAGAAACAAGGGGCTGTAGTATTTACAAAGTACATTATATCGATAAAATAGTCTTCCTAATTCCTCTTGTAGTACATAAGCGTTAATTAAAAATGGAAATATGTACCAAACATGTAATATACATATAGATACACTTCTAATACAAGAGGGAAACACAGTGACCGGCACAATTATTTTGAATTCATGGAACTTGAACCAAACAAGGCGAGTGCATGACATTTATTTAAAAGGTACAGGGAATGGGACACAATACAACAAGGAAGAATTTGATCAACTCTCCAGGATCACTACTGTACTCGGTCACACCGAGAAACCGAGGTAAACGCCTGAACTGTGAGATGGACACCTCGCTCTTGCCTCTACTTGCTACTAGCTCCAGCTTCCCTCTGCTGCAGAGGTGGTGTAGGGATGCTACTCCTCATGAAAACCTGCGGGAAAACTTTACACACGAACATTCTCTCATAACTTCATTTAGTTGTAAAAACTAGCAAATGAAACTTAATTGTTTTTATTGTAATATTAATTTTTAAAAGTAATAAAATTAGAAATTACATATCATTCATTGCATAAGTGTGAAGAACATGAACTAAAAGAAAGGATTATAGCTAGAAACTGAAAAAAATCACAATTGAGATTGGATTAGGCCAAAACAAAATGCAAGGAAATTATTTAGAGTTTTGAGGTGGAGATAGTATAACTTGGAGGGAGAGATAGCTACATTATCATTAATGATCTTACTGTACAAGTTGTAGGATGAGATAATAGCATGGCTGCTCCAAGAATGAATATAGGTGCACTGAGGAGTGGTATAAATGAAGGTGACAGTCAGAGATGAGAAAGGGAATACAAGGACTGACAGCAGAGGCAGCCAACTAAAAGTACAGTATGAGGATAGGTTAAGACAACTCGGTCTTAAGGGGTCTTAAGAGGATAGAAGAATACCAGGGAATTTGATCACTACAGACAAAATCCTGAGTGATTTACACAAGACAGCAGCTTATTTTTTTTTTGCAGTTGAGAGAAAATAGGACATTGAGGTTTGAAAAAATAAATGGAAACGAGTCAGAAATGTAAGTACTGTACAGCAATGTGGAACTTGTTTAATAATTGTTTACACTCAAAATGTTTGCTTGTGCATGAATCCATCTGTGCATGTGAGTGTTCTGTGCATGAGTGACTTCATCAGTGGTTTGTGACATGTGCTGTTTGATTCGGTAATACTAGCTGTACACTGAAGGAAGCCATCATAGAAGTCTCCTCTAGCCACAGCTGCAAGAGCAAACACTACACAGAACTCGAACATCCTGATAATTTTAACCAGCAAGTACAAAAAGCTAGGTAGTGGATGTATTTTGAGCAAGATTTCTCTCCGATATACTGAAGGGATACAAGTATAGACCCACTGTTGGCAAATAGTGAGGCTATTTGCCACCAGACGACACTAGAAAAAAGAAGGGATAGCGGGGGATATGATAGGAAATACTGTATATAAAATACTCGGGGATTGACAGTGGAAATAGACAATGTTCACACTGAATACTAAGAGCGAGGGGACGTGGGTGGAAGCTGGAATCTCGGATGACATTTTGAAACTTTGAAACATTGAAACTCATAATTTTAAAACTAGAAATGATAGGGAAATAGGACAAGTCATTGCTAAGAGCAACCTATGGCTAGAAAGGTGGGATCGAAGAGTCAGTGCTCGATCCTGCAGGTAGAAATAGGCGAGTACAGGTACTATGTTTTAAACTTCATCCTTGCACTGCTCAACATTTAGACAAGCTCATGCTGCTCACCAAAAAAATATATATATATATATATATTATTAATTAGCATCCAGGAACCACAAAAATCCAAGTTAAGTGTCTACCTCTTGTAGTTTAACTGTAGTAGCCCAGTGAATGTTTTTTTTTTTTTTTTTTTTTTTTTTTTTAAGAAATGAGGTGAGTTGCTGTATGGTAATAACTTTGCTGATTTATTTTCATTGTTTCTCGCTGTTTTAGTTTTTGTTTTAACCAGTTGTAATGTGGTGTCAAAGGTGATGTTCATTATATATAACTGAAAATATATGTGTGTGTATACAGGTGTGTGTAAGTATATGCACACCATGTATATATTCGTACTAATACATACATGTATATGCCTAAATCTTATAATTGCACATAGCTCACAATGTGTCTGTAAATATACATGGTAATTACTCATTTACTGTTGAAAGTTCAATGGCTCCTAGTAAGCCATTGTAAGCAAGCTCTCACAAGTCAAGTCTGGCCTCGGGCCGGGCTTGGGGAGTAGAACTACTCCCAGAACCCCCATCAAGTAGATAGTATGGCCATTCATTCACTAAATGGTAATGTTGACAGATGTTTTTTTAAGATGAAAGATGGTTACTGGAGGCCTGATTAAGCAAATATGAGCCCCTTGTATGCACATGAGTTTTGAATATTATGATATACATACGAGTGCCATAAGGTGCTAGGCACCTCCAGTTGAACACCTGCAGGCACTATATGTACAGTGCAGTGGTTAAATTAGAGCTTTTCTTATGCTTATATCAGAAAAAACAAAATTAAGGTTGCGGGGAAAATTATGGCATTAATCAGATACTATATTCTGGATATCTTGGCATAGTTAATACACACACACACACATTGTCAGGATACAAATCTAGACACACTCGCACATTGACTCTGATCTTGATAGTTGCTGATTATCGTGTCCTTCAACTCATAGTATCAACAACTTGTATATTTTTTATATTTTGTCAGTCTCTAGTCATAGGAGGCACAGCTCATTATTCAAACAGATAAAAAATGAGTATTTAAGTTAGATTATTTAGGATATTGTAATGGTGAGAGTGAAAGAACTGAAATATGCCTCCTTTAATTTAACCCATGTAAGGACTGAATCACTACAGCATGGTTGAAACGCTTCCTCCACAATAATTAGTGTATACTGAATAAATATTTTGTTTATGGTTTACATAAGAGAGATTACATGAATGTATGAAATTTGGAACTACATATTGGAAAATAGTAAATGAATAAGATGTTTGTTTTTATCATTCTACAAAGTTTGACCATCAAAGACAGCAATATAGTAGTATTAACATGTCTAGTTATAACATATATGTAACATATTTATTATGTTTAGATATAACATAGATCAACATGAATTATTATTATTATTATTATAATGTTTGCTGAAAATATATATTGTATTGACTCAAATTAGCATCTGATAGTGCATTGTGCATCGTATAAAATTACTATTTATTACCTCTGCATTTTAACAACTTTTACCACAGGTGCACACCCATTCTGCTATTGTAATTCAGCGTTGGTGGCGGACTATTCAACATAAAAGGCAGAGAGAGAAATATGAAAAGGCTGCCATTGTTCTGCAGGCTCACTGGCGCAGGTGGTGTGCCTGCAGATTATTACACATTCTCAAGCACAAGAAAGAGTTGGAGAGACAAGTGAGTGGATTTTATTTTGATTTCCCTATGCTTGAGTGTTGCTTTTAATTCGTAGACACAAGTAATAAGCAGGCTCGATTTTTTCTTATCAGTGTGTCTGTGTGTGAAGTGAAACTATTAGAGCAAGGATAGGGTAAGTGACTAGGCAAGTGTTTCGTGTCTTCTTCCAGTCTCTAACCTCGTTGAGTGATGGTATGGCAAAATGTGAGCAAGGGTGTAAAATAGTTTGGGCCAGAACTCTTAGAGCCTTTGTTGGCCGACTTAAATAATTCCATTATAAAGTACTGGAACATTGGTTGACTTTGAGAGTTATATTTGGTTGCTTCATAAGGTAAGAATGTGCTGTGCTAGTGCCAGGATTCATGAGGATAGGCAGTAATAGCTTGGGAATAAGGGCGAGTATAGGAAAGCACCTTTATGATCATGGCCATGCAGTTGGTGTCTCCTGCTCATTTTCTCCTGTTCTCTCATGGTGGATGGCTGGTTTTGGCTCGGTAGGCAAATTAGCCGTTATGAACCCGTTTCGGTTGTCACTTGTGATTCCGTGTGAGAATATAATTGGGATTTTAAGTCTTCAAGGATGTGCTGTTTCTTTGTTGAACATTCTGGGCTAGACTGATTACTTTTTGGTGTCTCTCTTAACCACCTTACATGACTGCTGGGATAACTTTTAACGTGTCCTTACGTTGTCATTGCCTGAATATCCTGTAAAATGCTTCCCTAGTACTCACCTAGTTGTGCTTGCGGGGGTTGAGCTCTGGCTCTTTGGTCCCGCCTCTCAACCATAAAATTGTGAAATTGTACGTGCATGTATTGCTGTTTTGAACAATTGACGAGGAATGTGTGTGAATAATTTTTGTTTTTTGACAGTAAGAATATAGCAAGGACATTTATTAAGAGGTGAACAAAGGGTTCTTTTATTCTCAGATATTTTGTGGCTTGTGTTTAATATTTGTTAAGTTGTTTTCCTGCAGTTGTAAAAAAAAAATCTTGGATATATTAAGTTTAGAATTTTGTTTCAAAACCTTCTTAGGTATGTTCATTTCACTTAATATTGATTATTGCTTTTTTATGTAGTGTGTGTTGCTGTTCTGCTGCATTTTATTTCAGTGGCTTTTATGTTGCTTAGTAGTAATGTGCATTATATTTGCCCTTGCTTTTATTATGGTCCCCACATGTTAGTGATCATTTGTAATTTTACAGCATCGAGCAGCCCACATCATTCAGTCAGCTTTCCGTCGTTACATTAGGACACGATATCTTCTGCAGGTGAAGGCTGCCATAACAATCCAGCAGGCTTGGAAGACACATCTCTTAAGGCAGAAGTTTCTGCATACCAGACAAGCTGCAATTGCAATTCAAACTGCTTTCAGGTCATGGAATTGTAGGCAGAAGTATCTGCATACCAAGAGAGTTATTACAGAGGTCCAGCAAAGGTTTCGAAGAAAACTTTATGGAAGAAGAATTAAGGAAGACTTCGTGCGAAAGCTTAAGGCAATCGTAGTGATACAAAGATGGTGGCGCTCTGTGTTAGCGAAAAAGGCAGCTCAAAGGGCAGCAAAGGAGCAGTGGGCATCCTGTACAATTACCAGTTTCCTAAAAATGTGCATTGAGAGACGTAAGTACTTGAAAATTTGTCGAGCAACGGTTTCCCTGCAGGCCTATATTCGTAGACTTAGGTGTCAAAGAAAATACCAAGCAATGCAAAAGGCAGCTTTGGTGTTACAAACAAAATGGAGAGCCACTCTGTTGGCTCACCAAGTACGAGAACAGTATTGTCAACTGCGCCATGTGGCTGTCATTCTTCAGTCTAATGTTCGTTCATACCTAGTCCGAAAAAAATTCCTGAAGCTTCGCTCGACCACCATTCAGATACAGTCAACATTTAGAATGAAGAAGCTGAGAAAGAATTACCAAGATCTTAAAAGAACTACTCAATATCTGCAGTGCCAAAGGAGAAGTAAAGTGAATATGAAGTTGGAAAGGCAAAGATTTTTGATGATCCGCAGAGCTGCAATAAGAATTCAAGCCTCTGTGAGGGGTTACAATGCTCGAAAGCTATATCAAAACAAGCGCCATGCTGTTGTTCTCATACAGAGTTCCTATCGCATGTGGAAGCAAAGACAAAAGTACCAAGAGAGTGTGCGGGCAGCTGTAACATTGCAGAGGCACATAAGAGCATGGTTAGTTATGAAGCAACAACGTGCACATTATGAAACCATGAGAGTATCTGCTATTGCCATTCAAGCAGCTTGGCGACGTAACCGAGCTCGGAATAATTTCTTGTGGATCAAGAAATCTGTGATACTGCTACAAGCACATGTAAGGGGATGGAGTTCCTTAAAGAAATTCCAAAGGAGAAGGAATGCAGCAATTGTTCTACAACAAACATTTAGGGCCAGGAAATCCATGATGATCAAGAGAGAAGCATTTGTAACCCTAAAGAGAAGTGCAACCATCATTCAAGCTTCATATCGAGCTCGGAGAGAGAGACAGAGGTACTTAAGACTCAAGAGAGGTGTAACCTTGGGCCAAGCTGCTGTTAGAGGCTGGTTGAAGCAGCGTCAATATGCAAGACTGAAGGCTGCTGCAGTAGTTATCCAGCATAGATATCGTGCTTATAAGCTAATGCAGGAACAGAAGAATTCTTATCTGAGGGTGAAACAAGCAACCATTAAAATTCAAGCAATTACTCGCATGTATCAAGCTAGGAAGAATTATTGCAGGCAACAAGCAGCTGCCATCATTATTCAAAAGCATGCAAGGGGATATGCTAATTATAAAGATTACCAACGTCTTCGGAGGAGTACTGTTCTTATTCAGAATTATGTTAAGGGCTGGCTTAAATCCCGCCAAGCTAGGAGAGAATACCAAGACATTAAGCATGCTACCATTGTCCTTCAAGCCCATTGGCGAGGCATTCTTGCAAGACAAAGCATGCAACGACTAAGAACTGCTTGTCTAGTAGTACAGAGCAATTTCAGAATGCAGCGAGTATATAAGATTTATCAAAGAAAGAAAGAATCTGCAAGTAAAATCCAAAGTGCATACAGGGCTTATAAGTTGGGTAAAGAAATGAGAATGAACCATTTGTGTATGAAGGCTGCATGTGTCACTATCCAAACTTACTGGAGAATGTATAAAGCCAGACAAAGTTACCAAGAAATTCGTAAAGCGACCATAACAATTCAGCAACGTTTTCGTGCCACCTACTTGGGTCGTCAGGTGCGTAATGATTACCGGCAAAGAAAAGAGGCATGCATTACTCTTCAGGCATGGACCAGGATGATCCTTATGAAGAACAGCTTTACTCTGAAGAAAAAATCTGCACAAACTATACAACGGCATTATAGAGCTGCCGTTGTTGCTAGGAAAGTGAGGCAGAATTACGAAACGCAGCGATTTGCTGCTATTAAACTGCAATCTTTGTATAGGATGCACCGGCAAAGACAGAGGTATGAGAAGCAGAAATTGGCTGCAGCAGTTATCCAGAAGCACATGCGTTCTTATTGGACAATGAAGACGGCAAAATCATCATACCTGGCCAAAAGAACAGCAGCCATTTTAATTCAAGCTAAGGTGGGTTTTGAATGGATTATTGTTTTAGATTGCACATTTGCATGTTTTCGTAATATAGTATTAAAGCCTTATTCTTGAACAGTATGTACTTGCAAATTATGTACTGGATGGGCTACCCGGCTGTGCCTGGCTCGCTCTTCTCCTTTCCCCCTCTTCCCCTCATTTCCCCTTCCCACTCTACACCTTTCTTCCCCTCTTCCAAAATCCCCCCCTCTCTCTTAGAAAATGTAATCTTTCTTTTACAAAGCACTTACAAAATTGCTAAATAATTCTATAGAATCCACATCTCCAATTTCAAACTTTGTGAAAATTGGTGGCATTTGCCTTAGGTGGCGATACTTGTTACTGTGCCGCCAAGCCCAAGTGGTGTATGACACTCCCTTTCCTCCTATGTGTCATCTTGGAAAGTTGGGTAAGAATGGCCCCCAAGCATCTGGCCTTCATCCTTGGACTGGACTGAATTGGACTTGGCTGCACTGGACCTGACCTGATTCGCTCACTCGCTGACTCATTGTCTGTGACTCTCAATGACTCTTGACATTCTCTTTTGTGATAGATAGGGTAGCTGGTATTGTTACCTTGATCTCGATTACGTTTGACCGAATCATTCTATAGTTTTTACTGTGTTACTGTAGTACCTTTCCAATGAACATTTCCAATGTAAAAGTAGTTATTTCAATATTCAATTTCTGAATACAAATTTCTTCCCTTTGTAATTTATCCTCCACCTTTCATTGGATATGTGCTTGTATTTTTCATGGTTTCATCTTCGTTAGATTTCTCAGGTAGGGGATAATTTATGGTTTTTGTTTTAATAAATGTAGATGAAACTTTCAAGAAATATGGTTGTGGTGCGAGGAAGGTCCCTATTGAAAGCACTTCATTCCCCAGTAATCTTGTTAGCTAACACTGCATTAGGAAATTTGGCATTCAAGTTAAAAATGTATACCGTGTTATTATTTGACCCATCATACTAAAGAGTCCAGCTGAAACTGTAAACCTACCATAGAGGTTAGGTGAATACTGTATTTGTATATATTGCCTCAATAATTTTGTTATAACAGATTAAGCTCCATTTAAGTGTCTTGCACGCTTGTAATTTTGTTGCATGCTTGTAAAACGCTTGTATGCTTGTAAAAGTAGCATTTTGTACTAGGGTACAAAGATATGGAATTCATTAGTTAGTTTTCTAAGATGGGTTACATGAGGATTTATTTGATACCATTTCCTACAAAACCGTATTCAAAAAATCACATGCAATGGGAAGACATGATAGTCCACAGAATCAAGACACAGCTGTGATTTGTGTGTGCCATGGTTGGCGTACTTATTTCATGAACATTTTTTTTTAAAGGCTAAAGCTTTTGTAGAATCTGACACACTTCTAAATATTAGTGAAAATAGTATACAGTGGAAGTGCTTAATTGGATTAATTGATTCTAAAGGCAATTCGCTTGCATATAACGATCATTTTTTGACTGTATATTTTTTTCAATAATTATTAATTTTATTGTGAACTGTAAAACCTGCTTTTGTGCATGCAGTATTTTGATACCAAAGTTAGTTCAGTAGAGATCATATTTGATTTAAAAACAAAGAAAATGTACCTCAATCTGTTTCACAAAAAGTTAATGCAGTTCATCCAGAACTGTTGCCGTTCTTGAGTTCTTGACCAGAACAAACCAATTCACAGTTTGTGTAGGTCATTTGAGTGCAGTCTCGCTGTAATTGATATAATTTTATTACTAATTGGTTTGATATAATGCAGATGACATATTTGTAGCTAATAGGAGAATTAGGTGGCAGAGGCAAGATTGCAGTAGAAAGAGGTCTGGTGCTGAGGTAGGTATTTTTTAAATGGTTGTGATAACACAAAAATATGGCTATTGTAATGGATACATACTGTTAGCTTAGCATTTTGGAAGGCTTTAGTTTCATGTATGATAAAAACAAAACATAATTCTTTCAGGTTCGTGGTTGGCTGACAAAACGAACTTTCACCATTGAGCGAAAGGCTTGCATTCAAATACAGTCATGGTATCGTTCTATGTACATCCGGAAGAGCTACCTCGCCCAGAAAGATGCATCAATCAAAATCCAGAGATTTTTCCGAGCTTACCAACTAAAGAAGCATGCTCAAAATCATTTTGCAATGGTTAAAAGAATTGTGATTGGTCTTCAGGCAATCACAAGAGGGCATTTGGTACGAAAGCAGTTAAAACGGAAGCATGCTGCTACCACCATTATCCAAGCAAGATACAGAGGCTGGAAAGCACGACAAGCTTTCATTAGAAAAAGAAATGCTGCTATTGTAATTCAGCAGCATCTGAGAAGTTATTATTTAGGTAATATTACTAGAAGAAATTTCAGAGAGACCCAGAATAAGATTATTCTTGTGCAGGCTGTGGTAAGAGGCTACCTAGCTAGGAAAGAAATGAAGGTAATGCAAAGTTCTGCTCTTGTTATACAGAGGACGTGGAAGATGCATTGGCAGCGAAAGATTTACAGAACACAGAGAAAATCTGCAATTTTGATACAAAAAGCCTATCGAAGTGCACGTCTGGGAAGAGAAGCGAGGAACAATTACAGAACAACAATAAATGCAGTTGTTTGTATCCAGGCACATTTTAGAGGATTTTCAGTAAGGAGGAGATATTTGAAACAGAGAAATGGGGCTCTTACAATTCAGAAATATTACAGAGCCTATAACATTTGTAAAACAACTAGGAATGATTATTTATATAAATATAGATGCATAACCAAATCTCAGGCAATTGTCAGAGGTTTTCTTGCCAGACAAAATCTAAAAAAGAGAGTAAAATCAGCAACTTTGTTGCAGTCTTGCATTCGTACTTACCTTGCAAAGAAAGTCTTTCTTCAACAAAAATCGGCTGCAATGACAATTCAGAGACATTACAGGCTTTACAGACTAACAGAGGCTACGCGACATGAGTATCTCGCAAAGCGATCATCTGTCATTCATCTCCAGGCTGCTGTCCGAGGGTTCTTGACTAGACGAGCTCTGAGGCAGAAGCATGACGCAGCAATAATGATCCAAGCTGCTGTTAAATCATGGATAGCACAGAGGAAATACTTAAAGGTTGTTAAATGTGTTAAAACCCTGCAAATCCACTGGAGGGCCACTCTTTTGATGTGGAAAGAAAGAGAAAAGTATCATATATTCCGAGGTGCTGGTATTACGATTCAGGCTGCTTGGAGAGGTGCTGTTGTTAGAAGACAGATGAGGGAGTCACAGTGTGCAGCATTAGTTATCCAGTCGTGGATTCGTTGTTGCCTTGAGCGCAGAAGATACCAAAGGATTAAGGAAAGCACAAAAATCATCCAGCAGTGGTGGAGACGCATTACATTAGCCGAAGGAATTCGGAAAGATTTTGTGAGAAAACGAGAAGCTGCTATAGTTTTGCAGGCATCCGTGAGAAAGTTTTTGGTAATTCAAAAGATCAAGAAATTACATGTAGCTGCGACATGTATACAAGCATATTACAAAGCACATTATCACAGGCAACAATTTTTAAGACAAAGGCATAATTATGTGAAAGTTCAAAGATGGTGGAGGTCTGTTAAGAAAATGCAAGAACAAAGGTGTAAATGTAATCAGTCAAGAAGTGCAGTCATTACCTTGCAAGCAGGTGTTCGAGGTATGTTAGTTCGGAGGCAAATGAGCCGACAGAATAGTGCAGCTGTAAAAATTCAGTCCTTTGTAAAAATGTGGCTAGTGCAGAGGAAATATAAACAAATAGTACAGAATATTAAAAGTGTTCAAAAATGGTGGAAATCTATTTATAAGATGCGACATCAGCAAGCAGATTATCAGAAAAAGAGAGCGGCAGTCATCAAATTACAAGCTTATGCAAGGGGAATGCTAGCCAGAAAAGAGATTAAAAGATGGCACTTTGCAGCTTCAAAGATTCAGTCTAATGTTAGGTGTTATTTGGCATGTAAAAAGTATAGAGATATTATAAATAATACCATAAAGATTCAATGTTGGTGGCGAAGCACACAAGCTCGCATTAGGGATGTTAATCAGCAACACATGGCAGCTACAGTCATCCAATCACATGCTCGTCATTTCTTGATCTCCCGGAAATACAAGAAAATGGTTGTTTCTGCCATAAAAATTCAGAGGTGGGTGCGTTCTGTACATAAAACTCGAGAGCATCATACACAATACTTAGCCATGAGAGCAGCCACTATTACACTCCAAGCATCTGTCAGAGGAATGTTAGTACGAAGGGAAATAGCACATCAGAGATGTGCACAAGTAAAGATAGCAGCCGTCTTTAGGGGCTGGCTTTTAAGAAGAACGTATCAGAAGGTAGTGCATAAAACAGTCACAATACAGAGATGGTGGAGATCTGTTAAATTAACTAGAGAAGGAATGAAGAATTTTGCTGTAACAAAGAATGCTATAATAACCATTCAAGCCTTCACTAGAGGAGCACTGCTTCGTGCAACAATTTCTCGACAAAAAAATGCAGCAGTGAAAATTCAGTCACATGTTCGTGGCTGGATGGCGCGCCGAGAATACCATAAGGTGACCTGCAGTGTACTGCTCCTCCAAAGATGGTGGAGGGGTCATAAGGAAACAAAGAAGTTGCAACTAGAGTATCATACAAAGAGAAATGCTGTAATTACTCTGCAAAGACATTACCGTGGAAGAATAGCTCGTAAGGAATATCTGAAGCAACGTAGAGCTATCATTAAGATGCAGGCGTGCACAAGATGTTGGTTAGCACAGAGGAATTATGTACAAATTTTAAAAGCTACTTTGAATATTCAACACTGGTGGAAAGCAGTAATCAAAGGAAGAGAACAGCGAAAGAAGTATCAAACCCTTAGAATATCCTGCATTACCTTGCAAGCATCTCTCCGAGGTATGCTAACTCGGAAGAAAATACTCCAGCAACACAGAGCAGCAGTCAGATTGCAAACATGCATACGTCAATGGTTAGCACGTAAGCATTTCTTGAGGAAAGTTCAAAGTATTATCATAATTCAGAAATGGTGGAGAAGTGTTAAGATGGCCAAGACATTGCAATGTAGATTCATTGCTATTAAAAAGGCAACACTTGTTCTGCAATCACACACGCGTGGCATGCTGGTACGACAGAGCATAAGAAAGCAACATTTAGCTGCAACCAAAATTCAATCTTATATTCGCTGTTGGTCTGCTCAGAGAAAGTATCATAAAAAGATGGAAGCTGTTGTCAAGCTACAGAGGTACTGGCGTGGGGCATGCTTGACTCTGCGCACACGAGAACAATTCATATACATGCAGAGAGCTGCTGTTATAGTTCAGGCTGCGTGGAGAAAACATAAAACAAGAACTTTGCTGAAGCAAATAAAGGCTGCTCAAATCATTCAGGTGAGTAATTCAAATAAATTTTTTGGTAATCGGGTGTGAAGGTAGTAGACCACTAAGCTATAGAATTGTTACATTGACCATTTTCCTTGGTTATATTCACTGCATTACCACTTGTTTTACACTCCATTTGTTGTTTACTAAGCAAGTCGAGATATTATTTTCCCATACTTTCTCTTGTTATTATAGACTCGAGCATCTAACGTTCAACACACTCAGTTGGTAAGGGCAGTTCTCACTCTTGCCAAACAGGCTTACTTTCCATGTCAGGTGAATTGTGACCACTACAACTCTTATGATGACCAAACTGGCTTTGGTTACATTTCTACTACTTCCTCAGTCTCTAATACCTAAAGGCATAATAAGTCTTTACAAATTCTACACGTCATTGCTCACTTTAGTATTAGAGTACCTTGAGAGAGCCCAGGCACCACATGTACAAAGTAAAAAAAAAGCTGAAGCTGTACATTCCTGATGTCATTATTTGCAGTTTTATATTTTCAGTGTTGACAACAAAATATGCACTATAAGTGACCAAATCAGACGGTTACACTAATACTCGGTGATGTTTGTGGGGAAATCTGGTTGGGCAACAAAGGCTCACTATGCTGCGGAGGACATATGGAAAAAGTCAAATTAGTTGATATTGCAGATATGTACTTGAAATAAAAAGTACAATACAGCTGCTGAAAAAGCTAAGAGAACTGAAGTAGGGTAATAGGTCAAGTAATGGGTAATGAAAACAATTTTTACCGGGAAATACTGTAAGCCATCTCCATTCACAAATTTAAAAGCATATATGTAAGAAGTAGAATGTCAGAATTTATAAATGCACCTGGTACAACACTCAGTGTTGAGTCAATTCCTATTCACACTCACAGCTAAGCTCACACCCAGAATTAATGGACAGAATCTAGCACACTAGAGACACCAGGTTGGTTTCAATTTTACATTGGAAGAGCTGGCATTGAAGATGGCCTTGCCAAGCTTCATAAAGGGAAAGTCTAAGAGGGGGTCAAGGCTGAAGCTGATGCAATGCCACGAGAAGAGCCTTATACGAAGTGATGGGCAGTAGCTACCGAGTAGTGGAGCTAAGTGAGGACAGATATTAGTACAAACCAGCATTGAAAAAAGAAAGGTGGAGTGCAAGATACTACTGTAAGGCCCACCTGGCCACTGCATGCTGTACTGTTTAGGAGAGAAAGCTCTGAGATGTTAATGGACAGCTACACATTCTGGGCTGGATCTTAATGGTTACCATCGTGTTTTGATCCTAATAACAACAGTATATATCTTATAACCTTGACACCTTACCCCCAAGAGCCGGCTGGCATGCCACAGCAGACATTTCTCCTGGCGGTTCCTATCATAATTCAAATTTTTTGCACTTTGTATCTTAACTCTTTCCTGCCCCTTCTCTTTCATATAATGCTCCTTTCATCTCTTTCAAGATATACTGATCATTTATTTCTTAACATGTTATCTTCTTTCTTCAGCCTTATGTACCCTTTTCATTAAAAAAGTCTCAGGTGTCCTAACATGTCAAAAGTGTACCACCTAAGAGTATTGCAATTTATCTTCTGCATATTTCATTCTTCTGAAAAATTTTGCTTGCAAGTGACCTAGTACGTTTGATACAGGGCCCCTCTCAATCATGTGAACTTTTCCAATATGTTACCTTGGCATTACCTTTTGTTACACAAGGATATTGATTAGTCATTCATTTTATATTTAATTATTTGGGAGTAGAAAGGTATCGGGCAGGAGGAAGAGAAGTTAACTTTACATGGTCAAAGTGTCTTAACTGATAAGGAATAAACAAAGTGATCATTATATAATGATAGCAAACAAGTTTGGTTTTAGCACTTAACATCTTGCAATGTGTCTAGCAAGTAAAAAAAAAATAATCCTTTGAGAGAGCACAGTACAAATTATATTAGTGGCGCCTCGATTAATGAGTAATCAGTTCCGGCACCGAGCTTATCATGTGGAAAACTCGTCTTGTGAAACAACAAAACTGTCGTCGGAGGTGTCCGAGAACCAACGGGAACGCTTGTTAATAGAGGGAAAGCTCATCAGTCGAGACATATTTTCTGCGAGTGGCTTGCTCGTAACTGGAGCCACTCGTCACTTGAGGTTCCACTGTATTTATATGGACTTTTCTGGCAGGCTTACGTGCGTGGATGGCAGGTTCGTCGGACAATCAGACAGGAGAAGAGAAAACTGTATTTAGAGCACGTAACAAGGGTTACTAAAGCTCATTTGGCTGCTACAGTAATTCAAGTAAGGAATAATATAAATTGTTGCTTAAAAGGTTCAAAGAATTGTATATTAAAAATGATTTACTTTTTATGAATACTGTATACTGTAGTCGTATGCTTACACAATCTGACTACTAAGAACTACAGCCTAAGTAGAAAGGCCTTTATGTATTGTAGTAATACATAAATTAATATACAGCTGTATACATTAGTGGTATATTTTGTGAAAATATGGCAAGATCATAAGTGCATGTTAATAAATATTCTTTGGGGTGAAATATTTGTTAGGTCTGTTAAATATTTTAATATGCTAGAATGTACTAGAGGCCTTTACAATTTGTTCATTTAAATAAAAAAAAATTGTGAATCTTTGGTTCTTGTTTCAGCAATAATTAAAAAAGATTTAAACTACTATATTCTATTTAATAGCTTTTAACACTTGATAAATTTAAAACTCGAAATACATGCTTATATAGCTTGTCTAACCACTAACACAGCGCTCATTCCGCCGTTGGCAAACTATGGTGAGGGTGCAACAGACCATGGGGTCCTTGATCAAGCTCCAGCGGTGGGTGCGTGCTGTCCTGCAAAGATCGTTGTACCTGAGACAACGCTCGAGTGCCATCATCATCCAGCGAGCCTGGCGATCCAAGCTCGAATGCTTGAAAGAGGTGCTGGGTGCTGTTTTTCGAGCTGTGCTGTAGTGCTTCAAATAAAGATTACTTTATTGCAACTATTAATATTTTCTGCTTCATTGAATTCGTTCCATTTATTAATTAAAATTTTAATTCGTTCAGACTTAAAATATAGTTAAATGCAAGATTTTTTTCTATTACAATAAGGGTTATCTATTCTTTAACACCTTATTACCTATGTGAAATCTCATTTCTTGGGCAGAATGCCTCATAGATCTGCAGATACTGTATTTCCAAAACTTGTATGATGCAGAATTTGCTACATCATTTAGTTAAATATTACTTGAATTCTCATTCATTTGATTTGGTCAGCTTCACATACCTAGAAGGCACAAGCTCCTGTTTTCTGGTCCTCTTATAACTAATCACACAGATTTGAATAATTAATATTAACATTAGTTGGTGGAAAAATTTAGAAGGATTCATTATTCAAAAACTGGCCTCTTTATCCACGTTACTCAAAAGGCACGTATATACCAATGCCCTGTTGCAGGATCGTCGTCAACGTGCAGCCACTGTTCTGCAAGCTGCGTGGAGAGGTCTAACTGCGCGCAAGAATCTGCAAAACAAGAAGCTTGTGGAAGTGCGGAAGAGGTTGAAGGTGGCCACTCAAGATGCCACAGATAGCAAGCGAATTGGCAACAGAACTGACTGTGCTATTGCATACCTGATTAAGTACAAGGATCTCAGGAGGATATTGATAGCAGTCATGTATCTTGGTGAGCTTAACTGTTCGTCTTTATAGGGGAATGCTTATCTTTAGTTTTGCATTATTAAGAGGTGTTGTAGATTGAATTGCTATATTTGTCCCCCGTCCCATTTGTATTAGATAATATACAAGTACAGATGGATAACTTGCTCTGTAATAGCTATTACAGTCATTTGTGAGTGCTTTGACCTGGGTTCGTATCCTAGCCGGGGAAGATTGACTGGGCAATCCTTAACTGTAGCCTCTGTTCACCCAGCAGTGAATGGGTACCCATTTCTTAAAACAATTTAGTGGGTCATATTCCGGGGAAAATTAGGATCAAGGACCTGCCTGAAATGCTATGCGTACTAGTGGCTGTACAAGAATGTAAGAACTTTTGTATATATAAATAAAAAAAAATAAAAAAAATTAAGAAAACTACATAGCATTACATAGACCACACATTCTTCAACATACAACTAGTTATACAGTGTGTCCTTGAATGGTTACCAATTCTTATGTTACATATAAATAGGCTAATTATTGCTTAACCCATTGGGGAAAGGTGTACGTTAAGTCAGAGAGCCAAGATTGCTTTGGTAATCTTACAAAACTAAATGGCAGTTTAATTTCATGTAAGGGGGATTAAATATGTAATTTGCATGCTTTCCATTCTGGTATATGACTGCTACTCATTCTACAGAGTAGCATCAGATTGAGTCACTTATCTGTTAAATGATATAATGGAATGATAGAATTGTTATTAATTACATTGAATAATACTGTAAAGTACTGTATACATTGTACAACAATTTTTTTATCTTGCATGGAACTTATTATCTTTACAAAATCACTTACCTTAAAGTAATTTTGAAGTTTGAAAGCATAACATAACATAGGCCCCTTGCACAGTGCCTTCTATGGCACCCCTCAATCTCTTTGTTCAAGTTCGTTAATACATTTCACTTAATTTGTAGGTTGGATGTGGTGTTTTCTCCTATTCCGTATTCCTTAATGTGGTATTTATTCAAATTGAATTCCATCTGCCATTTCTTGCTCCATTCACTTATTTTGTCCAGGTCAGCTTGAAGGGCATGGCAGTTGTCAATATATTTTCCCCTAATGTCTTATTGCAAGGGGATAGTTTTATGTTCATGTAACTGTATTCCCTCTGGTAGATTGTATATATAAATAATGAAAATTTACTAGTGCTAAAATGGAGCCTTGGGATACTCCAATAGTAACATTTCTCCAGTTTGATACATTGCCATTAATTACCTCCCCTCATATTTGTCAGAAAAAACTTCATTCATATCAGAAATGTGCTCATCACCCCCTCCAACATGTTTTAACTTCCAGAACATCCTGTTGTGTGGGACTCTCAAAAACATTATTGAGGTCCAGACAGTTTCAGTTAACCTAACCATCTTTCATATCGGTGTCGGCAAACTATGGTGAGGGTGCAACAGACCAGTGTCCTTGGCCAAGCTGCAGCATTGAGCGTGTGTTGTGCAGCAGTGTGTATCTTACCTGAGGCAGCACTAGAAATTAACACACAACAATCAACACTAAAAATGTGTCATGTCAATATTTGCCATACGTAACTCTGGTGAAAACAACCCTTAAACATCTTTGCTTCCACTAGTACAAAATGCCCCTACACCATGTTTAGTGTTGTGCTTATGTCATTTATGCTAAATTCTACTTGATTAGTTGATCAGTTACTGAGCCCATTAGGTAGCTGTGTATCCTTTCCTCCAATGCTTAAAGGATGGATATGGGGTTTATAATAAGGTTGAAATTATTGACTGTGGTAAAGGATGGGTATCAGTCACTATCACTAATGCAGATTGCCTAGCATCATGTTGCTTAATGACAAACGAAAAGAGATGGAGGTACATCTTTGCATTGAAGCCAAAAGCAGCCTTTAGTTCAATGTGGTGAACATGTATGCATTAATCAGAAAATATAACTTGTACAGTACTTATTTCAAAATCTATGTACTTCACACTGTGTGTTAATTCAATTTCCTTACACAGACACAAGTACTCGGTGGTCACCTACATGCTCTGAAAAGTTGACAGAAGGAACTACTCTCGGCACCATCATGTTCCTTCTCAGGTCCTGCAATCGCTCTATTCCACACATGCAGATCCTTGGTTTTGTCCTTAATATACTCATTAATTTGGCCAAATATCCATATACAGCACCATTCATACACAAGGTAAGGATCTTTAGCCTAAATGACCTTGTTTACAAAGTTTCCAGTGCAAACAAATTATTTCCTTGTATGTCTCTTAAATATATTTGTTTAAATCTCACTTCTAATATATTTTAATTATTCCCTTCAGATTAAATACTGTGTATGATCTTCAAATAAATTTAATTTATGAAGAAAATTGGTCTTAACTGTAATTTCCATATTCTGTAAGTGTGCGTTTCATAATTTCTAATTTGATCTTCATTATTCTGCCAACAGGTGGAGGGATTAATGGAGACCATTGTGCAGCTACTTACCATTTACTCAGAAAAGGGTCCTGGAATTTTTTGCAAGTGTTGCACTCTTCTCTATATCGTAACGGCAACAAATCCCACACAACAGGTATGTCAAAATTTAGGCAGTCGAGGATGAATGCACGTCAAAAGTTGTTTAACGCTTGCATTTGTTTATTTTCATGTGTAATGGCATTGCCAAGTCTGTTAAAAAAAACGTGTTTTGTGTAATTGTTTCACTTAGTCGAGGTTGGGTTTTGCCTATTGAGATAGGTTAATAATTTTCATATTTTTTTTCTCACATTGGTGCACTCACATTCCTAAATGTCAATCTCATGTTTTTTCAATTCAGTCATGTTTTGGTCATAGGTGGCAAATATATTTTAGTCATACTTTTCTTTAATTGTTGATACTGTAGCCATTTATCTATAGTAGGACTGTCCTCTGTCTTCAGAGAAATGAGAAGAATATTATCACAGATTTGGTAAATTGAGCTTTTTGTAGTCATGTTTTCCCCATATCAAACTGATGAATATTTGAATAATGTTGGTACATTGTGCATGCATGGTGGTGATAGTTATCTGCGTGATGGTGATAGTTATCTCGTTAGGGATTTATGTTGACTAGTTGACATTTTTCATTTGACTGCCGAGAGGAACTTGAGTGAACGTGGACAATGGGAAAGTTATGATAGAAAGGAGAAAATTTTGTGTGAAATGTAATTACTGCATGTACTAGAAGTGGTTAACAAGGTTTAAATGCTTGGGATATGCAGTTGATCAGAGGAATTTGGGAGAGTGGAAGGACAAGTTGTGCAGTGACAATCTTGGTTAGAAGAAAGAAGATAGGCAGCTAAAACGCTGCGTGGAGGAATGGATGGATGCAAAATGATTTTGTGACATGAATGCTAAAAAAATCAAGAATTAGAGCAGTAGAACTGGCTTATTTGAGAAGAATGTGTGGTCTTTGAAATATGTCATGGGTTCGTATCCTGGCCGGGGAGGATTTACTGGGCGCAATTCCTTAACTGTAGCCTCTGTTTAACGCAACAGTAAAATGTGTACTTGGATGAAAAAACGATTCTTCGTTGCAGGGGATCGTATTCCAGGGACCTGCCCGAAACGCTACGCGTACTAGTGGCTGTACAAGAATGTAACAACTCTTGTATATATCTCAAAAAAAAAAAAATATATATTGTAAGAAGGTTAAATAGTCAAATGCACAATGAACTCATATTAATGTGATATAACAGTGAGAAAATTAGTACGTGCCATTAGGATAATTCAAACTCAATTGTTTTGTTTCAAAAATTATATAAAAGGACTTTTTTTCTTCTCTTCTAAAATGTCAAAGATTTGAAATGCAATAGCTGAGATTATGTGGAGATAGATTGGGTGTGTAATAATTGGATGAATGGTGAATTTTGAGGGCTGGAGGTTGAGAAAAGCCTGTAAAAAGATAGTCGTAGTATGCAGGCGATGAGTCAAAATAATGTGGCTAAAGTACACAATCGACTTGAGAATGGTCCAGGACGGACCGAAACGTCGTCGTCCCTTCACCTTCTAGTGTGTGGTCTGGTCAAATAGTCGTAGTATATTGACTGCTGTATATGAGTTGTTTAATTACATACCTAGCTAAGCCCCAAACAAATAGAGGGTAGCACAGTAAAATGTTTCTAATTTCTAAAACGGTATCTTAATACTGTACCCAGAAATACTTTACAGGTGATTTGTTCTTTTAATTGTAGCTTAAGGTATGTAGTGCAGTTGCATACCCAGTGACATCACACCAAACTAAATATATAATAATGGTAAAACTGTTAGTTCTTGTAATCATTTCCATGTATGATCAGATTACGGTAATTACAGTAAGATACGGGAAGAGGAAAAATTAATAACTACATAAAGATTCATTGGAATGTGTGTTTATTAGACATTATTGTAAAAATTTCTCCACAGTTGCTGCCCCATTAACAAATTATGCAAATTGTTATTCTTCATACTCTAGTAGGGCGTTGTTGACATCTCTCATCTTTCTCGTTTCAATGTCTGCCGCTTTACACTACTGAAGAAAAAGCTGTGGGTAGTCCAACTGGGTTTTAGCTTAGCTAGGCTTGTTACCAAGCTTAACATTCTTGTCATAGTTGTACAATGCAGCTTGGTTTATGCCCCAACATCATAAAGGATGAGAGGAATACATAGGTACACTAATTGTTGACTGCCATGACCCTTAGCCAAGTATGTTAGTTGTATGACATGTCATACATGTATGATATCTCATGTCATACATGTATCACAAGTATGATACCTTGTATGACATCTCACGAGGAGCATGTGGCTCCTGGTCTTGCGATGCAGTAGGGTTATCTTGAGGTGATTTCGGGGCTTAACGTCCCCACGGCCCAGTCCTCAACCAGGCCTTCTTTTTGTTATGCTTCCCCAGGAAGAGCCCGTAGCAGCTGTCTAACTCCCAGGTACCTATTCACTGCTAGGTAACAGGGGCATCAGGGTGAAAAAAACCTGCCTATTTGTTTCCTCCTCCACCGGGAATCGAACCCAGAACCTCAGGACTACAAATCCGAATTGCTGTCCACTCAGCTGTCAGGCCTCGCACCTGCAGTGTAGTATAAACAAGTGAAATTTCTCTTATTCCAACCTTTCAATATCGTTCCCAAATTTTTTCTGGTTCCTCTCAACCCCATATAAGTAGAAAATTGCATAATTTAGGCATGTAATATTGATTTCTCTCATTTAGACACGTTTACATATGTTTATTTTATTTATTTTCTTAACAGGATATGATCAACCCTAAATTACTTAAAGATCTTAAAAGTATCAGGACCTTAATGATACGCCGTGAGAACGCCAGTTTACGAGGGAAGAACCCAGTCAAGGTCACCCCACTTCCTGTATCAAAGATACCATCAATAACACCAGACTGGGTTCTGACACCAAACCAACCAAGAGAGTTTGACGATCCCATATCTGCAATAGTTACACTCTTGGCTCGGATAGGAATGCAGGCAAAATGATGATTTAGTAACTTACTGTCAAAACCTTTTGTTTTACATATATATAGTATTTTATCTAGTATGAAGTGTTGAATTTTTAGAGGTGAAAAATATTGCTAATTCAGTAATTGGAAAATGATCCCATTAAACCACTTTATAAAGAGGATAAAGTATTCGTATCACATAGGATAGGGGGATAGTTCTGGTATAAGTATTATGATTAAAGTAAGGAGATGCATTCAAGGAAGTGCAATGAATTTGATTTTTATTTCAGTAAGGAAAGCTATTACAATTTTTATTTTCTTAAAGCTACTTTTTAATTTTCTATATGCAGTATAGTTAGATCACTGTGATCTTCTATAAGAAGCTAAACAGCATAGAATGTACTTTGTTGATTAGCTTCACCCATTTGGACTTGTTTTTATTGAATGTTAAATATTTTTATTTCTTTACAGGTAGGTATTTGGATTTTATCATTAGGAAGGGAAAACAGTAATTTGTATTAATGTGTAATTACTTAGTATTTGACATTGAGGTTTCAATTTGTCTTGATATAAGAAGCATACATATAGAAAACATTACTATATGTTTTGAAAATGAATTTGAAGTGTGAACTGCCGAATAAAAAGTAGTTGCACATGCTTTATGCTATTGTTAAATAACAACTTTCACACTTAATGACAAACTTTTCATAGTCAGTGCCAATGGTTATGAAACGACTGAAATGATCAATACCAAATTTAATTTTTACTTCAGGCAGACATTTAAATAAAAAAGAAATTAAATCATGGCAGTGGTAATCTTTCAGTTCGAAAGTCCCGGCGGGGTGCCTGCTTTTGCTATTGGCTTACTATTAGTTTGTCAAGTTCTCTATTGGATTTAAGTTCATAGGGTATTTTCTTAAATTAAGCAGAGGTGGTAATCTTAACATAATCCAATATATATTTTTTCTTATTTAGTTTAGTAATATCTTCGTTATTGTGTGTACATTTTTCAGTTTTGTGAATTTCATGAACATTTTCAGTTTTGTGAATTTCACGAATATTTGCTTGTGAAAAAAATATTAAAGGAAATAACCAGTACATCTGCATAAAATTATATATTTGCTTTATAATAAACTAATTAAATTGTCTAACACTTTGTAAGGTGTTGGACAATTTAATTCCCACTTTTCTCTAAAATATTTGGTTTTTAGCTAGTGAACTAATATTTGATACATTATATTGATGTAAATTTAAATGGAAATACATTACGTGGTTCCTGTATATCTTGCTGATCTGTCTTTAAAAACTGTATATATATATTTTTCTCATTAATAAATGTAATGTAGTGAACTTTTACAATATTTTTACTTACCTCTTAATATAATTTGTAATTACCTGTACTCTTCTTTTTTAAGCTTGTACACAATTTTATTGCAATAGAAATTAAACAGTCAGTGTTTGGAAGGCGTAGCTCGGAAGTCGACCCCATGGGTGCCCTCCCTCCCCCACGAGTAATTCCCCCCCCCCCACACACACCTTCCCCATCGGTAATTTCCTCCCCCGTTTTGTGATTTATAGCTTTTTCTTCTGCGATTAGTAGTTTTCTGTTCGATTTGTAATTATTTGTTGGGTGATTTGTAGTGTTTTTGGGATAATTGTAGTTTTGTTGAGCAATTTGTAGTTTTTTGTTGGTAGTGTTGTCACTGTGGTTCAGTTGTGCCAAACTGTATGATATGAAGCTAGCGGTACTGTCGTCCTACATTATGGAAAATTTAATTTTAATTAAATTGCACAAATGACTTGCCATTTATGGCTTCGGCAGGTGGGCAATTGCTTGGATATATTACCCTATGAGTAAAAAAAAATCAGTTTTCCCTCCTGTATATGGCTTGGTGATCTTGAATCTTGTGCTCCTTGTGTGTTACAATGGATCTTCAAATACGTGGTTTGGACTATTATAATTAATTTTATCAGAGGACAGGCAGCTGTTGTCGTAATAGGATGGTGTTTCAAGTCCTTTTTGAGCCTTGTGCTCCTGCAGCCTTCTTTACTAATTTTACGGGATCGCTTTTACTTTTTTTCCTCCACTGTAAAATACCGTCCATACACTTAGGCTGGATGGTAGCGATGGTCTTGCTTTACGCAGGTTGGCAGTCGATCCCCTATCGTCTATGTGGTTGGACACCATTTCTCTTGTCCCATCCAAAATCCTTATCCTGTGCAGGCGATGAGTCACAATAACGTGGCTGAAGTATGTTGACCAGACCACACACTAGAATTTGAAGGGACGACGACGTTTTGGTCCGTCCTGGACCATTCTCAAGTCGATTGTGAGAATGGTCGAAACACAATCGACTTGAGAATGGTCCAGGACGGACCGAAACGTCGTCGTCCCTTCAAATTCTAGTGTGTGATCTGGTCAACATCCTTATCCTGACCCCTTCCCACTGCTATATAATCCTAATGACTTGACACTTTACCCTGATAATTCCCTTCCCTTATACCTCTTCCTTTCGGGTTGTTACTTTCTGCCAACTTGGTTCTCCTTTGTAATATTCTTCCAGTTGCCTCCTCCTGTTCCGATGCCAGATGAGTTGAGATGACACACTCTCGTCTGTAAAACTGGAGTACCTGACTTGTTAGAGCAAAGGGAAACTCTTGTCTCAAACCCCATCTCAAGAGACCGATGGTTCCTAAGGTAACGATTACCAGGTGTATGTCCACAATGCACCCATGGAATGCCCCTGTTCAGGGCTCCCTTCTCTAATTGTGGTTCCATGGTGGGTGTGGGGATTTAATCAACTTCACATCCTGGTATGGTGCCTTCCATTTTCACAACTGAGCTGTTCCGCCCCCTCCTTGGGGTTCTCGGTGCCAAATTATAATAAGCACTATAAATTATTACAGTATATATAATAAAGATGCTTTCGCTAAAAAAAATATACAATAGTGTATGCTTTGAAAATATTAGAGAATGGGTTGTAGGAATGTCCACAGAAAATGTGACGTTGGATTATCTGTGAGGTATACTACTGTAAACAGGATATATATTTGGGGGGGGCACATTATTATTATTATGTAATAATTTATACAGCTGATCACCTATTATATATAAAAGTATTTAAAATGATCTTCTCCATTTTACAAAAACACGAGGTTAAAGATACAGGTCTATACTCTCCATTGGCTTTAGGGATAATCATAGCTTTTTTTTCCATTTACTGGGAATACTGCCCTCTTTATAACTAATATTAGAGGTCTAAAAGTGGGCTTTTCGTCATAGTGGCAAGTTCATTAAGTATTTCATAAGTTACTCCATCCTCCCCAGGTGCGGTAGATTTCCCAACTTTAATCGCCGTTATCAGTTCTTCTCTGGTAATACCTGTGCAAGTGACGACATCACTGTTACCTGCTATAAGTATAAAATCCTCTCTTACATCTTTCCAAGAATCTAATGACTCTCGTTACAGCGGGTAATGAACTAAGTTTGGCAGCTTCCGCCCATTTATTTACGAGCCCATTTGCAATTCCTTGCGGGTCTGGATGTGCAACAAAATTGTGCTTTTTACCCCTTATTTTATTTACGTCTTGCCAGATTTCCTTCAAGTTTCTGTTAATCCCAACTTTCTCTGCAAATTCCTGCCCCTAATTTCCTTTCTCTTCTCCCCACACAGCCTAGCAACTGCCAGTAAAGCATGCTTCCCTTCCTCAGTCCTATTCCAATCCCTGTGAGCTCTCCTCATTGTTAATGTCCACCCCTTAAGCATCTTGTCATGTGTATAATTCTTTTCTGGGGGGATGCCTTTTTATACTAGATGGTTTCCGGTTCAATGTTGCATTAAATACATCTACCTCCTTAATTAAATCTTCATAAAATGCTTCTGCCGAAACCGGCTTATAAGTATCATAACAAGACTTAATATGGCCAACAAGACCCCTTAATTCTCCCTCATTAAACTAACCTTTTCCTCTGAAGGCAGGCATGCTTTTTATCTAGTTTAAGCTGTATTTGTAATGCAAAATGATCACTTAGCATTTCATCCACAGTAAGACAATTCCCCTCTATGCCCTCAGCATTTATTAAACAAGCATAATCTAATCTCCCTCCCCTCAAATGAGTAGGAGAGGGCTCGCCCAGTTCACATTCTCAGTTTAGTTCAGATTATGCACCTCACATCCTGTGGGCGGTAGTGGAAAGGGTTACAAAGGCACAGTTGGCTCAGGGACTGAACCCCACAACTCATTTAGCCAAGTTACAATCTTTAGCTACAAAAAGTCAATACACATCGTCACATTAATGGGTTTGACATAGATCACAAGTAAATTCATTTTTATTCAGGAAAGTACATTTAGTTTATTTACAAACGTTGTATTTATAGGTAGAGCTAGTATATACAATACCTAAAGCCACTAGTACGCATAGCGTTTTGGGTAAGGTGGGGGTGGGGGGAGAAATAGTCATTCAGCTTAAAATTTATACTTCAAGTTTCTAATTTAAGCAATGGACATGTTGAGAGAGACAGTTTATGTGCTGCACACCGCCCCTCGGTAGTGGTCAAGGCGGTGTCCATCACTTACTACAGATTCTGCAACTTTTCTGCTCAATCTTTTCCATTCCTAAGCGACCATACGAGTCAAATACTCGTCCTCAGCCCAAGTAAAACAACCAACACTTAATGGACCAGCTAAAGGCCTACGGCTCGCTCAGAAGAATCCATGGGAAAAAAATCCATTCCGCATCTATTCCATCCTGAATATATTTTATATTCAAGACTGATTCTTGCCGTTAGATTTTTTTTCCCGCGGCACCTCTTCGCCCATATTGATTAGGATTGCCAGCTGCAACCATGTTGTAGAAGTTTACAGATTCATTTTTTCTACCATCTGTTACCTTGTCATGATATTGTCCACTAATACCCCGGTGAGGGGCAGTGCAGCGTTTTATTTCCTCGTTGTAGATGTTCAGTACAGACTGTCCTCTCTGCCTTCTCTTTGCTGTAGGTGGCCGAACCTGGGGTCGAGAGGAAATTGGTAACTAGTGTCAGGTTTAAAATATTAAATTTTTTAACCATTATGTAAATGCAGTTCATTAAGCCTTCGTTAGGGACCCTTTCAATCTTCACTACCGCTCACAGGATGCATATAGGGTGCGCTACTAGTCACTGTATGGGGGTCCACTACCTCAATATAAATTTGAACAGACTAGTATGGCCTGGAGACGCAGATGTACTTAAAGCTTTAGAATTCATTAACAATGCTTGAATATTTTAACAAGACTCTAGAAGCTAATATTAATTTGCAAATATTAAAGAACTAGTAATTGATAAATAACCAAGTTAAATTTATGAAAGATCTGCAAATGTTAAGTGTCATTTTTATAAAATTATGAAATTGAAAGTATTAAATTTGTAAATCGGTAAGTGAAGGGGAGGAGAGGTGGGGGGGGGGGACGCAGCAAGTGAAGGGGAGGAAGGGGGGGGGGGACGCAGCAAAAAGGAATTATCAAGGGAAAGCGCCAAGCCATTACGACTAAATAGCACTGGGAAGGGGTCAGGATAAGGATTTGAGATGGAACGGGGGAAAGGAATGGTGCCCAACCACTTGGACGGTCGGGGATTGAACGCCGATTTGCATGAAGCGAGACCGTCGCTCTACCGTCCAGCCCAAGTGGTTGGACAGCAAGTGAAGGGGAGGAGGAGGGGGGGGGGACGCAGCAAGTGAAGGGGAGGAGGGGGGGGACGCAGCAAGTGAAGGGGAGGAGGAGGGGGGGGGGACGCAGCAAGTGAAGGGGAGGAGGAGGGGGGGGGACGCAGCAAGTGAAGGAGGAGGGGGGGGACGCAGCAAGTGAAGGGGAGGAGGAGGGGGGGGGGACGCAGCAAGTGAAGGGGAGGAGGAGGGGGGGGGGACGCAGCAAGTGAAGGGGAGGAGGAGGGGGGGGGGACGCAGCAAGTGAAGGGGAGGAGGAGGGGGGGGGGACGCAGCAAGTGAAGGGGAGGAGGAGGGGGGGACGCAGCAAGTGAAGGGGAGGAGGAGGGGGGGGACGCAGCAAGTGAAGGGGAGGAGGAGGGGGGGGACGCAGCAAGTGAAGGGGAGGAGGAGGGGGGGGGACGCAGCAAGTGAAGGGGAGGAGGGGGAGGGGGGGGGACGCAGCAAGTGAAGGAGGAGGGGGGGGACGCAGCAAGTGAAGGAGGAGGGGGGGGGGACGCAGCAAGTGAAGGAGGAGGGGGGGGGGACGCAGCAAGTGAAGGAGGAGGGGGGGGGGGACGCAGCAAGTGAAGGAGGAGGGGGGGGGGACGCAGCAAGTGAAGGAGGAGGGGGGGGGACGCAGCAAGTGAAGGAGGAGGGGGGGGGGGA